GTGGCTGCAGATTTTGTTTCCAAGCTCCAGCTGTCTTGCAAAAGTTGCCTGACACATGTCAAAGACACAAAGAAATGCATGGCCCTATTTGCAGCACTAAACAAAACAAGAAAATGCTCAATAAAAACCAAAGTGCTCACAGTGGTCCACATTCTTTCTCTTCTGCAAATTTTTGAGCTCGTCGCAATCAGCTTTGTTCAATATCTTGGAGTACCCATCCTGGCTCTTTGAAGAACTCATCATTGTAGCCCACCTGTGATAAAGGCATTTTCAAAAATATCAATGCCTTGTACCAGTCTTGATTGAATCAAACCAAACCAAATCAAATCAAATTAGCTATAAGCCGTTTAAGGCAAGGAACATTGCAGTCCTCAGAAAAGGGTACATGCAGATGGAATCCTTCATGTCCATGTAGGCAATGGTGGTCATCATTTCAAGACCCAGTTGCAAGCTGCCATATGTCTTACCTCAATGTGCATGGCCCCATGATGAAAAGCTTTTCCATAGCCCATGAACAGGCTTGCAAGAAAAAAGGCCCAACAGGCTTGCACATGCACAACAAAGCAAAAATGCTTGCAAGAAACAGCTGTTGAAGCTTGCAAAAGCAGCCACTTGGGCTTGCAAAACTATATTTTGGCCAAGGTACTGAACTGGCTCAGAAATTTCAGTAGACTTTGTTGGTCACCTCCACCATACCTGCTGACATAGTAGGCAATGGCATGCAATTGAGGCTTGCACAGAGGATCAGTCTTCTCCACTTGGGCCAGAGCTTCATTCAAGGTCTTGCCATGTTTGATGAATTCAGCCATCAAAGCAGCAGCCTCAATTTCATTGACCTGCTTGAAGCCCATGTTCACTGAATTCATGGCCATTTGCAACCAAGCAGGCAAAGAAGGAATGCTCCTTTCCACCATTTCATTGATCACAAGCATAGGCCAACCTTCAGTGACTATCTTGTGCAAACCATCATCTGATTTCATCTCCACTGACATTCCATCAGCACTCTTGCAACCTTGCTCCACTGCTTTGCAGAAAGCAGCAGTGTGGGAAGTGGCCACAGTGAGGTACCGCTCCTCCATTGACACTTTTGCAAGGGCACCATTGGAGCCAGCTACCACTTCCTCATTGGCTTTCAGCTTACTCTGCTTGGTAGTCTGGTCAGTGCTGATTTCAAAAGCCACTCCTCCTTCTTGCAGCATGGAAGGTTGGATTCCAATTCCAACCATTCTCATTCCCTTGTCCCAGACATCAGTTGCATTCAGAAGGCTGCCACCTCTGTTGCTGGGATGGGTCAGTGTTTCTCTGGGCTTCAACATAGCTTTGTGCCCAAACCCATTCTTTTGAAGGCATTCAAAAACTTGCTGCACCCTTTTCAAAACTGGCACATCCTCATTGCTTACCAATTTGTTCAGCTTGTCCACCAAGTCTTCGGGCATAGAGCTCATAGCTGCAAAGCTCACAATGTGAACACTTTGTAGGCCAATGCAGCAATGCTTGTATGTTTTGCTTGGCTTTAGCAAAATGCTATAGTTTGTTTGGGCTGTCAAAGATTGCTTTATCAAACCATTATGCCAACAGCGAGCCATAACATTCTAGATGTAAAGGATGATGAATTCACCCCACATATTCAAATGACATTGTTTTGAAGGTTGGTTCAAATAAAAACACAAAAGGCTTGCAACATCTAAAAGCCAACTATAGGCTTGCACAAAAAAGCCAGCCAGGGCTTGCATCACAAAGCCTGCCAAGGCTTGCATCAAAAAAAGCCAAAGGCTAGTATTAAGAAAAGTCAAGAAAGGCTTGCACGCAAGGTATGCTGCCATGATGTATACATCATTACTTCCTGTTTTTTTGGCAAGCCATGTGCAACCATGCATGTTTAGCAATGGGCTTGGCTTTGATTTGCCATCAATAAATTCAAAAAAAGGACCAAGCCCAGGCATGTTTTTATCTTCAGCAGCTCAGCAAATATTTAGATCCCCAAGCAAGGAAAAATCATCAAGCTTTTCTCTTTGTTTTAAACAAAGTAGGTATGCCAAACAGCCAAAATTTGTTTTTGTGTTTTGAATTTGCTACCAAGAAGCATGTGAATCACTGGCTTGCATCATTTTTTCCCAGCACAGGCACAAAAAAAAAGCTTTGGCAATTAAACGAAAAACCTATAGCCCTTCAAAAAACAAAGTTAACCCCTTAGCCTTGGAAAGCTAAGTGCCTGTGCTTTCTTAGCTAACTACTTAGCTTTGGCTGATGGAATTTAACATAGTTAGCTAACTTTTTTGCTCCTCTACCTAACCTTGCTAAATGCCTCAGGCCTTTAGCACATATTTAACATATTTCTAACATAGCTTTAGCATATATCTATTAGTAACTTACTAACCTTGATAACCTTGTCAAGTACCTAGCAGGCACAGGGTTCATCTAAGTATGATCTATTTTGGATGGTGCGCAGGGTTCTGAATCAGAGCCATCTCGGATGTTGATTTGTTGGGATTAAGAATGCCCACGAATCCAAACAAGCATAGCCGCTCAATTTTTCAGATTGCGCTCAGGGTGGTCCGCAGTCCCGAAGACTGACACACGGACCCCATGATTATATTATACTGATTATTGACAATCTCTTTCATCATCGACGAACGATTCTTCACTGCTCCATCGTTGTGGTTCAGCCCGTCCAAATGGTTTCTTGTATATTATGGGGAATCGCACAGAAGCTGATAGAACCATTTGATAGAATCATTTGATTGCATTGTCAGATAGAATATATCAGAGAAGCTGAGAGAACGATTAGAACCCAAGTGAATCTGACTGACGCTCAATCTCAATCTCAATCTGTTTCATCCACATCAAATCATTCAGTTTCATTCAGTTTCCACTATGGGTTCCAAAATCGGCGTCAAGGCTTCCATTCTTGACGCCACCAGGGGCTGGTGTCAGCGTTCGGGATGATTATCGATTGGCGTGATGGATCATGATTTTCAATCGATTTATCATCGTGGATGGTTGGATCCTTTTGTTGTTGATTTTATAATACGTTTCTGTGGTTTTTAGATTAAGACATGTCGTTGCCTGAAAGAGTCGAACAAAACATGTTTTCATCTGCCGCTTCTATATAGCCTTCCAGTGTTGGGGCATGTTGCCTTGGCGGCTATGGCCGCCTTGGGCGGCTATGGCCGCAATCTCAACCTATGTAAACTCACGTCAACTTGTCTTACACGTGTTAACAACCAATGGAATTATGTGAAAAACATAGACATAGAATGACATAGATATACATAGACCACACACATGTGAAAGGCCATCATTTCTTTTTTCCTTCCACGAGATTTATATTTTATTTGAATCTATAGAATTGCAATGGCGCAATTTGCAGAGTCACAAGCACAGTCACAAGCCATGCAGGGTCACAGGCACAATTACTGCGATTGAATAGCGCCATGCCGAATGCGCAACAGAACGATTTGGAAAGACTGGAAGCGCTTGTGCAACAAAACAAATATTGTAAATGTTGGAAAGTTTGTGAGCAGGCGCCAAATTGTATTTGGCTGACATTGGAAATTGGATTCCAACAACGGGAAATCTTTTATCAGGTTTCCTGCCCATGCCTAGGGATAAGAGCTATAAGAGACGTGAAACATTGGATGGCGAAATGTTTTTTGGCCTGGTGGAGCGGCGCCTTAGAGCGGCTCGCGTTGGATTTGAACAGGAAGCAGTTGTCGTGTCACTGGCAATGGGCCCGTATTGAGCATGGGGTTATCAGAATGTCGATTCGGGATGCGTGTGGCAGAGAAGTCTGTCAACTTGGCAGAGAGTTGCATCAGGCCAAGTGCACTTACACCAAGGAGAAGATCGAAAGTTCCATGCGAGCTGTTGCTTGCGCATATTACCGAAATGGGATACCACCTTGCAACCTTGTCGGCGCCATTAGAGGCGGCGCCATTGGAGGCGGCGGGAGAAGATGTGTTCACACTGACATGTGTACCTTTCCCACAGGGTGGAGGGGAGAGACTACCCCAATCCCACGGGACACATACACACATACATACCTACATACCTACAGACCTACAGACCTACAGGCCTACAGGCCTAGAGACCTACAGGCCTACAGGCCTACAGACCTACACACCTACAGACCTATAGACCAACAGGCCTACAGACTTACATACCTACATACCTACCTACCTACCTACCTACATACATACATACATACATACATACCATACATACATACATACATACTTACATACACACATGCATTCATACATACATACATGCTTACTTACTTACTTACTTACTTACCTACTTACTTACTTACATGCATACATACATACATACTTACTATCTTACTTACTTACTTACTTACTTACTTACATACATACATACACACACACATACTTACTCACCTACTTACGTACTTACTTACTTACGTACGTACTTACTTACTTCCTTGCTTACTTACTTACTTACTTACTTACTTACTTACTTGCGTACTTACATACATCCATGCATACATACATACATACATGCATACATACATGCACACACATACATACATACATACATACATAAATACATACATACATACATGCATGCATGCATACATACATACATACATACATACATACATACAAGAGACCCCCCTCATTCGGGGAAGGGGAGAGACCCCCCCATTCCCACAGGGGGGGCGGGGAACCATGACCATGACGGGGGGGTAGGGTTGCAGGCCTGTACCATATATCACCCAAAAGATATGATTAATTCATCATCCCGATTTTGAATCCGATCCCTTCAATATAAACGATAATTTTTATGGTTTATATCCCCAAGATATCCCATGATCACCACAAATTATATGGTTAACATCAAAATCATTACTACAGTATGGGGCCCCAAAGATAGCGTTCAGTTGAGATACAAGTGGCTTAACTTTTACGGTTTATAGTAGATATAGCTATAGTATTCATGGGGTTTATAAACCAACAAACGTCACTGGGCACCATCAGGTCAGACGCCGAAGGTGATGGCGACCGACCAGAGACTGAGGGCCACGGGGAGACCGGGCAAGCTGTGCCGGAGATGCAGCAGCCCAACGTGGAGGATCTCGGCAGCAGGGATGGGGTTTGTTCATGTTTGTTCCTCCTAACCAGCTAGTGATTTAATGATATTCAAGGCTTCTTTTTTGTGGTGCAGGGTGTGGGTTGGCCCTTTTTTTTTGGTAGTCCAAATGATTGGAATGTTTTTTTTTGCAATTTCAGATTGGATCGTGGTTTTTGCTTCCAAACTATTGGAGTCCTAGATGTCTTATGCCAACTGTTCATATAGATGTTTGAAAAAAGTGGTGATACATGGTGACCCGGAACAGGGCATGCCAGTTTTTGCGGGATTCTATTAGCCAACAAAGAGGGTGATTTCACCCCTGGTTGAAATCGGCATATGCCTTGTCAAACATCTTTCAGTTCTTCTGCAATTTCTTGCAGGAGGGCAGTGATCCTCTAAAACGGCCTGATGGCGAGAGCCTAGTGCAGGAGCATTGTTGGTCGTTGAGATGTTTTGACATGCGTAATGCAAAGCGCAGAGTGCAAAAACATTGTTGATTAATTGCAAGGTCATTTCAAAAAATAATTGACCATTAACACTGAACACTGAACACGATACTTTCCAATTAAGACACCCAAAGGTTTCATTGAAACGGGCGAAGGGTATTTCATGAACTTTTTGAACATGTTCAGTATCAAACATTCAATTGTTGGGAACTGTCGTTGGATCCGTGCCCGCATGGTGGAGGGCGATTTAGACTTTGTGACTCGCTTTCGACTCCGCAGAGTTCGCCTTTGGGGCGATCAAAACAGACCTAAATCAGAGGTCAGGGAGGTCGAACCGCGACTCCCGAGCAATTCGTTCCTAGCCCATTCCTAGCCACCATGAAAGCGGGGTACCATGCCGGTCAGTTTGACTTGTCACCAAGTTCACCGATGAAGGCGGGGTTCGGCACTGGAAAATCTTCACCTGAGAAGGACTTTGCTGCATCTGAGCTTTGAGTTTTTGTTGCATTTTCTGTGACATATCTGATGTGTTGCGTTGATTGCGTATGATGCGGCCTTTGGTCAACAAACCTGTAGAAACTTCACAATCTTCAGAATTTCTGATTTAAATGATGTTAAATCCTCCTGGAGAATGGGCTTTTCCCAGCATATCTGGGACCGCTGGCAGGTCTTGGACCCACATTGCAAGCCATCCTATGCGGCAGATTCAAGTTTGAGTTACTCGTCGCGTCGGAGCTTGGGGGGTGGCGTTGGTGTTTCTGGCATACTTCCCCACATCAAATGTGACTTCCGAACAAAATGGGTTTGACATGAACGAACATGGCTAGAGAAATTCCATATGAAGTCGATGCTATACCAATCGGGAAGATGGGGGAATTGCTAGGATTGCTGAAGAGTAAGCCGTTGAGAGGTTCAGAAGCCCTTCAAAGGCTTTGCTTCTTGACTTTCGGGGACAGGGCTCTGCCACTAGCCCAAAAAGCACCAGTAATTAAATCGAATCGAATTTTGGATGGAGCAGGGCAATGATGCGTTTCGCATTGCATCCCCAGCCTTTCGCGTTGTCCTACTTATGTTTGTGTATGACTTTCTGTTCGAAGACTTTCCCATCTATCCAGAGCCTCCTCTCAAAGCCGTGGTTGTTCAGATCTTTTGTATTCTTTTGTCACCAATCATTTTTGCACCCCCACCAATTAACATTCCCACTTGCTTCATATATTTTCCTGGCCCATGCCGCCCCATGCCCCTAGGTTTTGCCTCCGCCCAGCTGTCGGAATGTCTGCAGCGCTGCTTGACTCCGCAGAGCGTCCCTCCAGGTCTTGCGCTGCCGGCCGCGCCGCCAGGTCTGCCCGCGCCACTGGCGCTGCCGGCCGCTGCCCTGGGTCCCCTAACACCGCTGCTGCCGCCGATGCCGGAGGTCGACATGGGGGTGGAGTCCAGCCCAGAAACGGCTGAAATGCCTGCGAGACTTGGAGCAGAGTGGTTTCCCTCAGTTTCTGATGCTTCTGATGGTTCTTTGCGTTTTGAACCCTTTTTTGGGGGGTTGAACATGGATGTGGCTTAAATGAGCACGTGGGAGCTTCCAGATGCATCAAGCAAGATGAAGGAACCAAGCAAGATGCATGAAGGAACGCGCATGGCAAGATGACGTGCACGTGCATGCATGTTTGATCTATATGCATGTGCATGCACTGGCGGAAGGAACAATCTTGTTTAATCATGACCTGGAGGTCTGGACTCATCTGCACACAGGCAAATATCAAGCAATATCTATATCATATAGTCATGTACAACTATTCGCACAATGGGACAACACAAACCGCGTTACACATCGCTCAAGAGAAGCTTGCACGGGCACATGCGGCAAAACAAACACATATTGACTCAGGAGTCGGCCCTCAAGCTGGATGTATTCGTTCGGGGTAGTGCACCCCAGTTTACTAGTTGGTTTATAAAGTCAGTTCAGTTATATAACTAGTTCGATCTATTTGCTATAAATCCCAGTGAAGTTAACAGTTAACAGCAGAAAGCTAGGGACCCCACCCGGATCTTCCCGGATTTCCCACCCTCGCGACGACCAAGGGATAAGATGACCAGCGCGCTGCGCAGCAAGGAGGGTGCTGAGCTGATCGCCGGGCAGCTGTCTTGCCTCAGCGGTCTGCACTTAGATGCAGCTGGGACAACTATGAAGGTTGCAGCAATAAGTATCTAAAATTCTGAGGTTATGGCATGTCACGAACGCGAAAGGTCTACGAGACTGAGAAAAAGTTGCACGGGTAACAACAACAACAGCAACAACAACAGCAACAGCAACAACAACAACAACAACACCACCAACACAACCAACAACACAACCAACAACACAACCAACAACACAACCAACAACACAACCAACAACACAACCAACAACACAACCAACAACACAACCAACAACACAACCAACAACACAACCAACAACACAACCAACAACCAACAACCAACAACCAACAACAACAACCACAACCAACAACCACAACCAACAACAACAACAACAACAACAACAGCAACAGCAACAGCAACAGCAACAGCAACAGCAACAGCAACAGCAACAGCAACAGCAACAGCAACAGCAACAGCAACAGCAACAGCAACAACAACAACAACAACCACAACCACAGCCACAGCCACAGCCACAGCCACAGCCACAGCGACAGCGACAGCGACAGCGACAGCCACAGCAACCACCACAACAACAACAACAACAATAACAACACCACCAACAACAGTAACAGTAACAGTAACAGTAACAGTAGCAGTAACAGTAACAGTAACAGTAACAGTACCGCGTTTTTTGGCCTGTGAGGCCCCAAAAAACACGGAAATTTGCGGCGTTTTTTTGTCCCGAAGAGTTTTAAATATTGGTTTAACGCAGCCAACTTGACCCCTTGTGGGGCCTTGCGCGCATCACCGACATCACCAACAACGTAACGACAGCAAACATTTGAGTTTGGAGTCTTTTGTTTCGTTGTTTTTGGTGATTTTGCTGTGGTGACGCATTTTGCACCGATACGCTTCTACAAACAGACGACGTTACGCACAGAAACCTTTACACAGAGCATCCTTTATGCGCAGATACTCTTACACAGAGAGGTTTGTGCACAGATAAACTTTTACACGCAGACGCCTTTACACACAGAGGTTTTTATGCAAAGAAGTTTTACACACCAAAGTTTTTATACACGGATGCTTTGCACAAAGATGCATTTACGCGCATAAATAAAGGCACACAGGCGCTTTTACACACAGAACCTTTTGCACACAGAAACCTTTGCACAGAACAGTTTTTACACAAACTTTTACACAGGAAAATTTTGACACAGAAAAAAATTGCCCACACAGACTGCGCAAAGAAGTTTTTACACACCGAAACTTTTACACGCAGAAACTTTACCCAGAGCAGCTTTTACATACAGAAACTTTTCCGCACAGAAGCCTTTAAAGCACAGAAGTCTTTATGCACAACAGTTTTTACTCAGACCCTTTTACCCACAGATGCCTTTACACAGAAAAACATTTACACAGAAACTTCTGCACACAGCACGCTCTTACACACAGCCAACTTTTACACGGAGAGGCTTTGCTTCCCCTTCTTGATCACCTACCTTTCGTGTTCCCCCTCTCAAGTTATATTGTTTATATGAGGTATATTCTATGGTTGGATGAACATGGGAGTTGTTTTGCCTTGGAACAACCCGCAAAAAGATGGAATGATATAAGTAAAACTGAAAATCTTATTGAGTTATAGTGAAAAATTTAACATGTTCGATCTTTTTGTTTGGGGTTGCTATAACCAATGACCAATCAAACTGTGGGGGGTTACCATCTAGGAATTGAGGAATTGGTGGGATATCTCAAGGGGAGTATTTTCTTGATCAGAAATTAACACAGCTTTGCAACCCAACAGTGAGGAGTCCAAAATGCAAGGTGGGAGACAGGCTGGGGACAAAGCAGGCTGGCTCCTGCCATGGCGTCTATCTAGGCAAGGTGAACCAAAACTGTGATATGTTTTGATAATGTCCATATCATAATATCTATCCTATTCATCATATCCACGATGTCCGTCATATCCATTCTTTTCATCATTTCCAATTCATAATTGCTCCTAGCACCCCAGATACGTTTGGGGAACTTGAATCAGGGGTTTCCAAAATCCAAGGCCATTTGCTCCTTCCATCATTTCCGTTTGTTCTCCTTCATGTTTTTTATATTATTTTTTTTTGCAGAACCAAGGCGTTGGGTAATTTTTTCCATTATCTCATTAAAAACCACTTACAGTAGTAAGTGGGATGCGCATCCAGTCACTTCCTTTCGCTCCATCATTTCTATCATTCCAGACCATATCCAGATCATATCCACCAGTCAAAATCTTTCTTTTTCCAAATTTCTCATCCAAGTCAAGGCCTTTTGTTCTTTCCCACCTCATCCACCAGTGAAGGTTTTTTTTGTCATTTCCATCCTATTTTTCATCAACATTCTCCATCATTTCTCCATCAACATTTTCCAGATACCTTTTGGGAATTTCAAACCGTTCAAACCTCAAACCTAGGGGAAAAAAAACAAGGCCCTTTCCATCATTTTCATTCATTACTTACTGTAGATAGATACCTTGAGGAATTCCAAAACCAAACACCAAGGCCTTTTGTTTCGAGTTGGTCTCCAATTTTCTCTCGGACCTCTGCCGCCTGTCCTGCGACGCCTTTGCGGGGCCGGTGCTGTGTCAGCTGCTGCAGCTGCCGCAGCTGTCGCCGAAGCTGCGGCGGCGGGTGGTGATGGGGCTGAAAGGCGGGTTCAACCGCTGGTGGATGGAGATTTTTGCAGCCTCAGACTGGGGTAGTTCAAAATTTCATATTTTTTTTGGGTAATTTTTTGTGGGTTTTCACAGTGGCTTCACAAAAATCTCATAATCTTGGTGGAGATGATTTTTGGAGGTTTCCTAAAATGGGGGTAGCCCCAAGTCACCATGGGTTTCAATAGTAAAATGGTCGAATTCAGGATTTGGAGAGCACCTCTATTTTAGGGAAACCCTCATTTTAACAATTTTCATCGTCCACTATAGGGGTTTTATGGGGTTTGATGCAGGTCTATAGGGGTTTGATATGAGGTTTTAAGTCTTTAAGTATCATATGGGGATGGGTCAAAACCTATTAATACCATTTTTAGTGGGATGAACATCCATTTACCAGCTATTTTGAGGTTCACCAGGGGTACAGGGTTTTGACCCATCCCCATATATAGGTGTGGAGACATTATTGATAAATGATTGTGATGGATATAAGGGTAGGGCCTCGGGGTCCCATAGTGCGATAGGATTCGATTATCTCCATATTTGTGTTGGTGAAATGGGAAACACACCCATATCGATTGATTTTGTCCCTAATTTCGACGAGTTAAATTTCATTTTGTTGCAAGTACAATCCCAATTTCTCATGGTAAAGAAACCACTATGATTATTTGGGTACTAGTTGTTTTCAACAAAGAACGCACCGAACTAAATAGGCCGTGGCTTCCAGTTCGGAAACAGTTAGTCATTACCAGGTTCGGTATGGGATGAAGTCACCGGCTGCCAGGTTCCTTGTTGAAACTGACCAGGGACAAGCGTGGCTGCTGGGTCTTGCAGCAAGCCTTGGAGTGCAGCGAAGGTGTGGCCGAGTCACTGGGCCGCAGATCTGATCCGCTTTTGGCGAACCTGGTGACCGAAACCACGACCAAAGTGCATAGCTTCGGGTGACCCCATGCATAGGCTGCATAGCTAAGTTGGCTGATAACTGTGTTAACTAGGGTTTAGATGGGTTGGGTGATGAATAAGCATAGCTAAGGAGGCTTTTAAACCCACAAACACAGCTGGAGGACACCAGCTTATGGCAATCAAACATGGCTGGCTAGGTATTTATTGCAACTGGAAAATCATCGAAATACATTTTTTTCTTTCCAGCAAACCGTGTTGGATTACCACACATTGAACTTATTGTGTAATTAAAGCGCGAATTTATGCGGGGAGTTTTTCGGGTCATAAACGACCAATATGCTTTGACGACGTAAATGTGGGCAAACTGTCAACGACCTCACTGCGACGTCACCGCAAATGATGGTTATGATTGAGGCAACTATCGCCAAAATGGCCAAACTGTTCAGGGTGGAGAATTCGTGCAATGTATCCAGAAAAATCATGAAAAATCCCTAAATGATCTAACTTGAGGCAGCGTTCAAAGGCCTCAAATGTTTGAGAGGATTGGTTGTGAGTGAAGCATCCAGACTTACTATGATGTCAGCTCTGGATTCATAAACCTTTGGTATGTTCAAAGAGGATTGTGTTTGGGTGGGCTGAAAATCTTACTGCAGCCACTAGTGCAGACACCGCTCCATTCGTATCCCACGACATCCCCAAATCTTGGAAAACATGTTCCAAATTCTTCCAGCACTTTGGTCATTGAGTCATTGAGGAAAAAATGAGCACGAAACCATGATTTATCCATTGAAAATGAAGTTTTCTCCACACATTTCCTATCTTGACTGTCAGGTTTCCTATAACATTGCCACATCGCGGCATCTCCTGATGTTTCCTTGCATAGGGCTTTTTCCGAGCCTTGAAAGCGCCCAGGTTGCAGGACGCTTTCAAGGAGGAACTGAAAGGTGCCCAAGCTTTGGGTCGCCGTGAGCTGTATGACATTTCGCTGAATGACGAGCATTTGATATGAGATAAAGGATGCACTTGCCAGAATCTGTCAGCATCTTCATGTTGGTATTGGCTGCAGTTATCTGCAGTTATTACTTGAGTCCATCATTCCATCTCAATGAAATTTGGCAACCACTTATGGATGAGATAATCCGCCAGGATTCTTATGAGGATCAGATCACATGGATGATTTTTTCCCTCGTCAAACATGGCTGGAACAGCCTCCATTTACTTCGATTATGCAGGTGATTACCTCCATGATTTAGGCTGGAAAATCCTCAGCAAACATGGCTGGGATTAGGCAAAATCAAAGGTCTTGATTGCCCTTCAGGGAAATCCAGCTTGGAACCCCCGACTGGCGAAAGGCAAGGTGCTCTCATGCAGTCAGCACCTTCATGGCAATTTTGTGGCTCGGTGATGACGGCGTTGGGTTGTGAAGAAACTACGTTCATGCTGATTCAGAGTGATTTCATGGTGATTTCATGGTGATTAAGGGATTCAACGGCTTCCGAAACAGGGATTTGGCTTGAAGAAATTGTGGCCGCATCGATTTTAGAAACGGAGATGATTTAACCAGTAACTTTGGGAATTGACCAGCAAAAATATGACTTGACCAGCAGGACATTAATTGGGATTTCATAACCCCAGCAACAACTGTGATGTAACCAGACTAAAATTTTTGAATCAGCCAGTTCAAGAATGGGAGTTGTTGAGTTGTTGCCCTTGGTACTGAAACACGGCCGGTTCGGAAAGCGGCTAATGCGGCTAATGCTGGACAGAAAACTCAGCTACAAATGGACTACTGATGGTGGGAGGCTAACTAAGTAACTAGTAGAACGGATAGATGAATGGATTTTCACCCATACTTAACCATATCATAGACGTGCTTCACCATGGGCCAAGTATGGCCAAGTGACCCATAGCCATATCCATTGGTCCACGGAATCTCCTGTGAAAGCCTGGTTTCATTAGACCTCAATGGATGCATCCGCATCCATTGCATCACACTTAGTAGGTAATGACTAACAGTTAGCTATTGAAAATTGCCATTTAGATCCATTGAGTTCGTTGATTTATCTACTCTTAAAATTGGTGGGATTTTCCAGTTCGCAAACTCTTCGTTTACCAGAGACTACATTTTTATGCATCCGCATTGGATGAGGTCCTGCAAAAGTGCGTGGAGGCGCTCCCCCCCACAGCCGTTGCTTTCATCGCGGCAGACCCTTGGCCCGTAGGGCCGTAGGGCTGGGATTGGGGGTGATCGTGTGCTGGCTGCTATAACTAATATATCAAGGTGGTGCCCCATAGCTATCTTTCATGTTGAAGTGACACATGTTTCAATAGGGCTTATGGCAATCATAACTCTACTTGAGTGGGTTTACAAACCGAACATAATTGCCGGGGTACCACCTGGTATGCGATTGACAGGGATGATGTAATTAGGTGGTAGAACCGATGCAATTTGGCACAAACCAAATATGAGTTTTTTTTTTCTGTGTTGCCACTGGTTGTTTTGGAACCATTCTTGAAGTGATAGGTGGGATACAAATCAGTAAAATTATCACAAGGCAATTCTTTTTAGCAATGGGACAATAAACTCCGTTTCATTCCGCAACTGTTTGAATCTTATTGGGGTTATCCTGGCCCTTGGAAAATTGCCATAGGGTATCTTGCCCCCGGCGACTTGGGAACTGGGGCGTGTTATGCCAAGCAAAACATGCGCAGGATCTTTGCCTAGTTCCATACAGTCCAAGCAGAAATACAGTCATAGTTGCAAGGGGTATTAGTTTCCGGTCATTTGAGATAACTATGGGAAATGGATGGAAATGGCCAAGGCCAATTTATATACAAATCACCTGTGAAAAAAGGTTGTTGAAATACCAGAAGGTATCCTATGCGAAACCAATAAAAGTCATCCCAGCTGCAACCCTACGTTCCAAGATCTGGCTTATTTTCCCCTGCAGGCTGGTTAGCTTATAAAATATTAATCAAAACAAAATATAATATCTCCAACAAATGCAACTGCTTAATGAATATTTGAATATTTTAACCCTTGAATCGTTGTTAATTGGTTAATATTCATTCGTTTACCTGCAACAAGACTGAGTGTTTACACGTTGGATGGCAGCTAACTAATGAATATGACTGGTTTACATGTATGTTCTTTAAGTGGTTAACTGAAAAACTGGCTAACAATGAATATGACAACATCCCCCTTGGCAGATTTTTTATCGTTAGCGCGGATGTTCCACGATTCCAATGGTGTCATGATCTGCTGAGGAATTGAAAAACCACGCGCTGGTGGCGGCTCTGGACGTGTCGCCTGACTCTGTGGTTCTTAGGAAAGTGGAGAGTTGCCATGTAGAAAATTCTTTCGACAAGAAGATAAACCACAGCCCACTGTCCTTTTTTTAGAACTTGGGGGGTACTAAGAATTCATATGGGTATGGGTCAATACCTATAGATACATTTTTAGTGGGTTATTCACATCCATAAATCCCAGCTATGACTTGGGGTTCACCAGAGGTACCAGGGTTTTGACCCATCCCCATATCATTGAAGGTGTTGATTCTTAGGTTTACCACCTTGCTGGATGGCAGTTGGGACTTGGCCAATCTTGCTCCGAAATCATATTGGTTGAGCATTTGCATCCCTACTTGTACTGAACTAAGCAACTTAGCATCCCATGAAATCCCCCAAGAAATCCCATGAAATTGCCATGAAATTCCCATTAAAACCCATGAAATTGCCTGCAAATCCCATTAAATCCCATTAAATCCCATGAAGTTGCCCTTAAATCCCATTAAATCCCATTAAATCCCATGAAGTTGCCCTGAAATTGCCATGAAAATTCCCATTAGATGGCCATTTCTAGAGGGCCAGGCTTCCTTTTACACCGCTGAGGTACTCCTGCCGCGTCTTGCAGCGTCTCATCGAGCACAGCCATTCGCCACACATGGCCGAGCTTACGGAGAAGCTGCTGAGGTCGGGGCTGGGATGTCGGGAGGGAATTTTTTGAACATGAATCGATTTTTCATATTCGTTAAGGCATAAAAAACATGTTGTTCTTTTTTTGTTTTTCTAAGCATGCGATTTGTCATTTTTTTAAAAAAATTGAGCATCACTTAAAAAAGTATATGTTTGAGATGACCTATTCCCTTTTCTTGTCGAAGAATTATGACATTTACGAAGCCCTGAATATACATCTATTATATACACCTCATTTGAAATGGGACCATTTAACTTTAAACCCAGTCACCCACCATTTATCAACTGGATTTGCTGTTTTTTCACACTTTGTCCCTCACATGGTTGGTGATTCAATTCCAGTCGGGCCTTCATGGGTCCCAAGTCAGGAGACAGCAAAAATGTCTCAGGTTTTTCCCAGCCAGGGTCTTTGATGAGTGTCCACGGAAATATATTTTTTTCAATCCACCCGATTTTTGTTGGGTAACATCGGCTTTTGTTGTGCTTAAGAACTTGGTTTGATGCTTAAGCTTTCAGAATCCCAAACACATCACCTAATTTTTTTGAATCGGACATTGATATATATATATAAACATGAATATCTCTTTATATCTATATCTATTATATCTATATGTATGTATATATATATATATACAATATTATGTATATACATGCATATGCCCCCCCCCAAAAAAAAACATATACACATACATATACACAGCCATATAGAGTAATATAAACCAACCATAAGTGTCATATATCCCATGCTCCATCTCCATCCCACTGACCACGGGAGACCGGACAACTTGGAGCGCCTCGTCACCGACGCCTACGGGCACAACGTGCTGCGGGCGCTGCTGGTGCACGGCAGCGAAGACCAGCTGAGGCGCATCGTGGCACTCTTCGCGGAGGAAGGGAAGCTGCTGGTGCCTGGGAAGGGATGGGGATGGGATTGGGGAGGGTTACCCTCTGGTAATTTATAGTTCATGGTTATTTATAGCTATTGAACATGGTAATTTAACGGTTTGTTACTGAACATGGCCCATAGAAAGTTCGTTGATTTAGCTATGAAAAATGGTGGTTTTCCACTTCGCAAACTGTTGGTTTACCAGAGGTCACTGCTGGGTTGATGATGGAATGCGGGTAAAACAATGTCATAAACCAGTCATGGCTGGGAATGGTTTCTACAAACCACCTCTCAAAATGGTGATAACATAGCCATGGAAAATCACAATTTTTTAATGGGTAAATCAACTATTCATGGCAACTTTTAATAGCTTTCTTTTTGTTAGTTTACCAGGCCGGGTAAGTTGGTTGAATTATGTAGGTGAAGTCTTGGATTTGTAGATATATCGTGGCTGTTGGATGGGATTGGACACCAACAAATACTTTTTTTGGGGGCTGCTTCCGGCTGCTTCTTGATCGGATGGGGGTTACCATGTGGTAGACCGCCATAGACCCTTGAAAACGATCATATTGGGGTGGATTGTTGTGGATTTTCCATGGAAATTTTGTTGTTTGTTCCCGGAATCCCACCATCATATTTTTGATGGGAAAATCACCATTTGTTCGTTTATCTGCATGATATTATATAATCATTTTTTGGGGTGCAGCGGTGCGGCTGAGGCTTATTTTTTTTATAGGTATATAAAATATTACAAATGAGAAAGTCGCCCATTTTATAAACAACGTATAGACTGCATAGGATCGATAATTTTCCGCAGCCCATTGTTTCACTACCAGAGTAGCGACCTCTTTGTTTTCTGGAAACGACGTGTCCGCCGAGCCAGGTCTATGCTCGAAATCGCCACGCCAGCTTAGTGGTGGACCAATGTTTGGAGACGCTGAGTAGCAGCAATCTCCAGGTGGAGCGTGTCTCGGTTGGTGTCTATAGGCCTAGGCCTGTTGAAGGATGTTTGGTCGCTAAATAAGGAAAACATGAATTCTGATGTACCTGGGAGTGATTGAACGGAAGACCATACTGTAAATTTCCAGTGGTTCCATTGGTTTCAATGGATTGGTTTAAGGGAAAATTTTAACCGGAAAACCCCATGATCTTCATGGGAAAATCGGAAAATCCATGGTTTCTGGTGAAGATTTTCCCCAAGAAAACCAATCCATTGATATACCATATCCCATTAATATCCCATTAAATCACTATAATTATAATATTCCCATTGATATACACTAAAATATCCATTTAATGGGATAATATTACCCATTGAATCACTATAACATTCCATGAAAAATCACTATAACATTTCCATTAAATTCCATTGAATCACCATTAAATCCCATTGAATCACCATTAAATCCCATTGAATCACCATTAAATCCCATTGAATCACCATTAAATCCCATTGAATCACCATTAAATCCCATTGAATCACCATTAAATCCCATTGAATCACCATTAAATCCCATTGAATCACCATTAAATCCCATTAAATCCCATTAAATCCCATTAAATCACCATTAAATCCAATTAAATCCCATTAAATCCCATTAAATCACCATTAAATCCCATTAATTCCCATTAAATCACTAGGGTTGCCGGCGCTTTTTTTGTTGGACTTTCCCTATCGACACAGCCACCGAGGCGGCGCCGTCATGGCTGCGCTGCTGGGAGAGGGCAGCACCTCGGTCTTCTTGTTGATCGCGCTGGCGCCTTGGCCACGGAATCGTTTCTTTTTGACAGTTGGGCCATGGAAAATCACAATTTTTAATAGGTAAACCCAGGTAAGTTGGGCTGAAAGTTTCAGATACCCTCTGGTTATGACTAACAGTTTGCCATGGAAAGATCCGCCATGCTATTAAGTTCGGTAAACCATCTATAAATGGGAAACCATCTATTGCCATGGAAAATCACCATTTTTAATAGGTAAACCAGGTAAACCATCTATTTCTATGGGCCATCAACAAACCATGGCTATGTTAGTCATAACCAAAGGGTAGTTTCTGATGTTTTTCCTTGAACATTCTGTAAGACGGGAGGATTTAAGATATTCGATGGACTTTTTTTTTACGTAGCTGGGATGATATTGTTAGCACACAAAGGATCGAAGAGGGAACAGATGAGATGCGGGGCATTTTGCGAAGCTTTAGTTTGAACAATTATTTCGGTTCACAAATAGTCGACGAACATGATGCAACAAACTTTCCTTGACTGGTTTCAGCAAACAACGACATCTTCCAGGTGAACGTCCATAACGGATTATCTTGGAGTTGGTAAATCCAATAATGAACCACCATTTTTGGAGGGTTTAGATCACCTATTGATGACTATTGATGACTTTGGGGGTCTGTCTTTTTTGGGTTTGCCACATTTGATCCCAATTACAGTAGTATATCTTGACTATTGTTTGATATATCCCCATTACATCCCATTACCCATTATATCCCTATTAATGTCAACCCTGGATCAATAAACCCCTGGGCTGTTTAATTGGGAGGGTACCATTTAAGTACTAGATGAAATGACTATTGGAGGAGTACCCCCCTAATTATATAATAAACGATGGTTTAGCAAAATCCGGGGTTGACATTATACACATAGTATATCCCAATTACAGTAGTATATCTTGACTATTGTTTGATATATCCCCATTACATCCCATTACCCATTATATCCCTATTATACCCCTTAATCATCATAATCTGATTGGTGGTTTGGAACATTGTTTTTTTTCCATATTGGGAATGTCATCATCCCAACTGATGAAGTCATATTTTTCAAGATGGTTTTCTTGCACCACCAACCAGATATTGACAACCACCTGGCGGTTGGTGTCAGCGTGTCCGTGTCCGGGTGTCCCAGTCTCCACCCGTTCCGTTCCGTTCCAGGACCGGTTTGGGAACTACATCGTGCAACGCGCGATCGCGGGATGCCGAGGTGGTGAGGAGCGCCACGGCGTGCGCCGTTTGGCGCGCTTGGCGGCGAAAGGTGGCAGTATATTGCTGACCCCAATTTTAGATTTGATTATATTTGTATACACTATACAGTATATATATATATATATTTGTATCTATATATATATATATTATACATATATGTTATCCCTCCCCAAGACCTACTGTACCTCTTTTTGTATGGTAGACATGTCCTTGGGCTCTTTTTCCTTGCGTGCTGTAGCTTGTCTCACGCGTTGTGCTTCTGCAGTGGGTAAGTCGTTTGGATGAGCCTCAGCACAGCTGGGCCACACATGCCACCATCTCTTTCTAGTTTATACTTCTCCGCGGACCTTTGAAAGGAAATATTGTACATTTGGTACATGTATTGCCACATTGTGCTTTCTAGAGTGCACATTTATTGGTTTGAAAGTCACAGTGTGTACTCAGAATAACACTTGTTTGTGCCAAAAGAAAAGCTTCCCACAGATGCTGCCTCTTTGAGATGAACAGTGCGTCTTTCCAAATAAAAGTGAGGGCTTTGTTGAAAAGATTGCCACCTGTTGACAAGGAATGCATTTGTCTTCAAGGAACACACGCACACACACACATGTATATATATATATTGCAACATTTTAATTAACATATTTATTGAAAAAACGGCTTTTGTCCGTTCCTTGTCAAAAACTTGGAAGAAAAATTGGGGTACGACCCGTTTCTGGACAAAGAAAAACATGGCTTTTGTCAATTATATTCACGTCAGCAAAGTAATGCTGCATTCCAATTCAGGTGCGGTATTTTTTCGTTTTATCCCAGTCTGGCTTCTTGGCCTTTGTGGCTTTATATCGCCAAAGAAGTGAACAACACTGCAACTACCACCCACAAGGCTAGAAGGGTTGGTCTTGGGGGTGTCATATAGATATGTATATATGTTTATATGATTCATATGATTCATATGATTACCCTCCTGGTTGCATCTCATTAGATTGTCATTATATTTATCCCTACAACTATAGGTATACACTACTTATATAAGCTTACAAACTTACAAATTTATATAGTTATTAGTAGTTATCGTAGTTATTGGATAGTTTTATACTTTGATAGTTATAGTTGCATATGTAGTTCTGCACTTAATGTGGGTAAAACAATAATAAACCATCCTCCAAATCACCATGTTTACAGGTGGGATTCAAACCATTCCCAGTCATGGGTGGTTTATGACATTCTTTTACCCAGATTATACATAAACCATCATAAACCCATCAGTGATACACACACACACACATATATATACACATACACACACACATATATATATGTACCTATATAGATAGATAGATAGATAGATAGATAGATAGATAGATATCCCACTGGGCCCATTGGTTGGTTTCATGATCCCGGCGCAGGAGGAGCGACGCATCGTGGAACTACTGACCCTGTTGGGCCCTCGGCTGCGACGCACGGCCAATGGGCGGCACATCATGTGCGCGGCCCGCAGGTGCGGGGGCCCGGTTGAGGAATTTCGCCAAAAAATACCGGTGGTGCAATGGGGATACCATCGGGATATGGGGATATATTGGAGGGCTGGTTGAGCTGCCATATAAGGCAACTAGGTGATTTACCCAAGAAAAATGGTGATTCAATCAAGGAAAGTGAGAATGTAAAGGGGATAAAATGGGATAAAATGGGAAAAATAGATAAACATTAGTTGCTTCCCAGCCAAATTGTACAAGGTGGTGTCCCTTAAGCCCTCATCAACTATAGATATACCTACCAGAAACTGATTTTCCACTCCATCGACCCAGTGAGTCATTGGTTTACAGCCCTGGGCTACGAACATTTCCGTAGATTTTGTTCGTCCATTCCATCATTTTTGTTGAACTGTGATTACCCTCTGGTAAACTAACGTAGCTATGGAAAATGGGCCATAGAAATAGTGGATTTACCGAACTTAAAAATGGTGGATTTTTCCCATCAGCAAACTGTGACAGTTGACCAGAGGGTAACTGGCCTATTTTGGTTTCTTCGATCCCCATTTCTCTTGGTTTTTCCGCTTGATTGCCCCATTTCCCTCCTCCGTTCTGGCACGACGCAGCCTGGCGTCCAGGAGATTTGGGTCGGAACTGTTGGCTGCGCAGCGGAGCTAGCGGCACAGCAGAGCTCAGGAGGGGTTTTCAAATGTAGGTGGGGAATATAACCCACGTACAACTGGGGTAGATCCTTTTTACTGGGTTATAAATTCCTAACATGGTTAATGTGGGTAAAACAATAGCAAACTATTCCCCAGTAATCACCATTTTGATAGGTGGTTTGTAGAAACCATTCCCAGCCATGGGTGGTTTATTTTCCATTGTTTTAAGCCCATGACTAACGATTGGGTCTAATTGGGACAGGTGATCTAATGGGAACATCATCTGTCAATGATTGATTTTCCAGCAAGCCATGTTTGATTGCCAGAGGATAACTTATATGAACATTTGTTAAAGAGTTGGTTGGCAGCGGTGATTAATTCATTGGGGCTGGGGAGATCACTTATATGTAACTGGGAATATTCCATAAAAATAATTGCACACACACACACAGATATGGTGGTTTCCTGAAATAGGGGTACCCCCAAATCATCCATTCTAGATTGGGATTTTCCATGAAATAAACCAACCATTTTTGGATACCCCCATTTCAGGAAAGCCCCATATAAATCATACAGATCTATGATAAACCCTATTAACCACAGTGATAAGTTGGTTTATAAACCCCATTAACTAGTTCGTTATATCTACCATAAACCATATACATGGGGTAGATATTCCATTATCTATATGGATAATAAACCATATTTAACATAGATATATGTATTATATATAATATGCATTGGCTTGGGATCTTCCATATGGGGGTCTTCACCAAGAAGCGCCAGTCCGGCCATGCCGCCGTTGGCGACTGATGAAAATTCATGTCACTGGGGATCGTTTCGCGACACAAAAATCACGGAGTTTAAACAAGTACCCTCTGGTAAACTAGCATAACTATGGAAAATCACCATTTTCAATGGGTAAATCCACTACAAATGGCCATTTTCTATGTCGCTATGTTTGTTTACTAGAGGGTAGAAAGTGGATGTAGCAATAGAAATGTGGATGGAACCAACAGACATGGGGAATTGAGATATCACCAGCCCCAAATAAGGAGGGGGTACCCGCAAATATGTTCATCCAGCATGCGTAGGTCTGACATTTCTGTGAAAAGCATCCTGAAAATCTCATGGTTTACCCTCTGTTAATTTAACATAGCTATGGAAAATGGCCCATTTACAGACGAATACCCATTACAAATGGTGATTCTCCATAGCTATGTCGAATTTGCAGATGGTATCCGTTTCCTCATTTTTTTCCCCCAAGCTTTGCCCCAGATGAGGAGAACATCGCAGCCAACGAGACTTGCGATGGTGCTGTGAGCACAGATGCACAGATTCCCATGTATAGGAATTCACCTTTCCTTGCCAACAAAAGGAGATGTAAAGACAGCCACTGGCGGAAAGGTGGCCATAGGTGGCCAAGGTTGCCATTAACGTCCTGAAACCAGGTCTGCACACTGCCCCTGTTGGAATCCCTCAAGGAGATCGATTTTCGATACCATTTTGTTGAAAAGACCGTGTGCATCCCTACTATTGCAAATCACTTGCCAAGCCAGCTGCAGCCGCCACCAGCCATGCACTTTCTGTTGCGTTTGTGTTGGAGGCCCTTCGCAGTGGACAAATTTCAATATCGCACGGTACAGGCAGAGTGGCGGGTTCTCGACCACACGCGGTGAGCCACGCGTTTGGTGGACATGGACGGATATGGCAACTCTATCAGGTTTGGTAGAATGTTTCTAGCACCAAACCACGGTTCATCAATGCCAAGCCTGTATCCACGAAACACCAGTTTACTGGGGGGGTTCCCTTTCTTTCGATCCCTTGCGTAAAGTGGGATGATGGAGTAATGTCAATGGATGTTGCGGATTAGCATCTTTTGGTAGGCGCATCAGCAGGGTTTTACCGACATTTCAATTCCAATATCAGCCTTAGTCCGGTGGAATTGGGGCAGCTTTGATTGCGGGATGGTCAAACCTTTTCCTGGATGATTTGGTGATTTTCAACAGCAAAAGTCCACTGGTCCACGCCCCAAATTGCTTGGATCGGACCGGTGGTTCGACTCGCGACTTTGTTTCCCACCTGCCCAGCAGACAACTCCCGGGAGTTTGTCCCAATCTTCAGTTCATACTCCAGGCCTGTGTGCAGAATTTCTTTTGAACCGCGCGGGCAGGGAGAGTTTGAACTCGGCCATGTCTAGGACTTTGGACCCCGATGGGTGATTGCCTTGATCGAGTTCGACCATGATATCAAATTTTGGGGGTCCTACGTTCTTGGATAAAGCCACTATACAGATTATACAGTCTCAATTGGGACCTTTAGATCTCGCTTGCTTGTATCCTGCCCTGTAACTGCTGATTTGCTGATGCCGAACGATATCTTTTACATCAGAGATCATCTAAGTCCTTTTCCAACTGGTTGGCGGGTTCAATCTTGTTCCATTTATTTTTGGAATAAGGATCCTAAACCAATCTCACCCACCTGGTACGCCTGCGTTTTGGTGGTTTATATCCTACTTTTACTCAAACATCCATAAATAATATCACCCTCATAGACTCCCGACCAAAAAAATGATCAGCCAGCTGGTTGCATGGCAGGGAACGTGCAAGTGGTTGCACTACCTAGCAGCCGGAACCGTGGGCCCAGATTTGCACACGTGGGCCCAATGGGTGGCGAGCCGGAGATCGTGTCCGGCGGCGATCACGCCAGCCTTCGCCGCGTCCGTGGAAAGTTCGCCCCACTTTTTGGACGGGCATCAATTTGCCCTTTTCCAAGGTGGTTGAGGATACCAGAAAGATGGAGTGCAAGAGTGTAAGACAAGAAATATGACACATATGCCATATATGCACTAAAACAACATCTACGTCAACGTTTTTTTTCTCCGAGGTGTGCATCTACGATTCAAGTAAGGCCACCATTCACATGGGCAGTAGTGGTTTAGACTGGCTAGTGAGTCTAGTGGGCAAGCCGTTGCTGTCTATTCATACAAGCATCATGTCCAGTAAGGACAGGTAAATCGTGACCTTGTGATTGAATAAGACATTGCACATGGCATTCTGCTCCAGGTATGTAGCGATCACTATCCTGAACAATGGCATGGTTCATGCAGCTGTAAAAAGGGCAACCGAGGGGGAAAGATATAGGTTGGCATGCAGTCACACATGTGTGTATTTGTCGTTCTGTTTGATTTCATCCTGACACACACACACATACACACACACACAACACACACACACATATATATATATACACACATTATATATACATACCATCTGGTAATGTAACAAAATTGGCTATGAACAATTGCCAATTATATTCATGTATAGATTTACCTTGCAAAAACAGATGTTTCCCATAGCTATTTCAAATTACCAAATGACAAACAATGCTTGCAGGTGTTACATTTTGGGAAGGAGATTCATGCAGGCGGCCTGCGTCTTTCGGTATAATCCGCCACCGGTTCTTTTCAGGGGTCTTCCCCTTCTCGTCTCAGTGCGACGTTCCAGAAAAGATCAGTGGGGTTACCCTCTGGTAAACAGCCACATAGCTATGGAAAATTACTATTTTAATGGGACGATCCACTATTTTTATGTGGTAAAGCCATGTGAACACAACTGGTTGGTGGTTTGGAACATGACTTGAATATTTTCCATAATATATGGGATGTTATCCTTCCCATTGACTAGTAGTTTTCAAGATGGTTAAAACCACCAACATGTTTTTTTTGACTTTCCATATATATTGGGAATGGACAAATTCCCAACTGACTTTCACTCCCTCCATGATTTTTCAGAGGGGTTAGCAGCAACCACCAACCAGATTGATGGTTAAAATTCCCATCATGTTTAACCATAACCACCATCATTAACCAGTCAATTAACCAGTCAATTAACCATTATTAACCAGTCAATTAACCATCATTAACCAGTTAATTAACCATCATTAACCAGTTAATTAACAGACAAGGTCATTCCAACCATCCGTCGGCCCGCTGGGCTCCAGGAGTTGATGGAGGAATTCAGGGAGGACTGGGAGCCCGCGGTGGAGGCGTTGAACGAAGCAGTGCCGCGGCGTTGAACGAAATCGTCGGGATGGAAGGCCCTGGGAGGGTTGAGTGGTCGTTGAGTGAAGTTGATTGAAATAGAAGGATTTTTCCGGAACAAGAAGGGTGATTTATATCTGATATAGTTGATCTATGTTGATCTATGATATCTAAGTTGATCTAGTTTTTTAGGTTAACTGTTGGACTTATGGTAGATATGTCGAACTAGGAATGGAAGGGATCTGCACAACAAATCGTGAGAAACGAACCAATGAAAACACAGCTCTGCAAGCCAACATTAAGGATTCCAGGGTTCCAGGGTCTACCCCGGTTTTGATGAGTTTGCATTTGTGATGCACCATTTCCCAGAGATTGAAACCCAACAGTCACTGCTGTTGGCAATGGAACAACTGTATTGTGACAGTATGTGCAAAGTCTGGTGCTTTTCTTTGGGGCCTGTCGACCGATGAAAGAAATGCGGCTCATTGTTGCTCGGTCCTTTCGTCTTCGTTCCTCAGTTTCAACCAGGATTTCCAAATTTTGCCTTGTACAAGGTGGTGCCCCATAGTTATAAGTTGGTTTATAAACCCCATTAACTATAGTTATATCTACCATAAACCATAGTTATTGGAATTATAAACCAACTTAGCTAACTATGGGGCACCACCTTGTAGGGAGCTTGCTACTTTGGGTTACATCTGCCATTTTGTCCGGATCGACCCACTATTGCCCTCTCATCTAATCTTATATAAAAACCTAGACCTGATGAAACATCAGTATACAATCCAATCAATGTCTACTGTCACATCTAAATTTAAATCCAATTTGATCTCAATCTTTCCACAGATTTTCTCCCAGGAAGAAGCTTTTGGCCTGGGAGGCGCCCAATCCTTGGCTCAGCACTTTACGGGGGGCAAGGGCATCTGGCAGAGCAGCGAGGACAGGAGTTCTGCGTAAATTTTTTGGGTGGAGAACCGTTGGGATTTCACCATCGGTAGGGTTCATCAATGGAGGATAGGTTCAGGTTTACGGTTTTACCATCTGGTTATGACTAACAGTTCGCCATGGAAAATCACTCACCATTTTTAAGTTCGGTAAAGCATCTATTTCTATGGGAAACCATCTATTGCCATGGAAAATCATGGAAAATCACCATTTTATAGCTAGGTAAACCCAGGTAAAGCATCTATTTTTATGGGCCATCAACAAACCATGGCTATGTTAGTCCGTCATAACCTGGCCGGGTATCCAGGATCCGGTGGTCCAACTTGGATAGACCGATTACCAGTCCACCAGTCACCATAGATGTGGAAAACCACCAGTCAAGGTTTCTATTCACATGGGAGATTTCCATGGCATTTTCGATATGATGGGTCAAAAGTCCATGATGTTCCCATATGGGTATGGATCAATACCTGTTAATACCATTTTTAGTGGGATGAACATCCATTTACCAGCTATTTAATTTGATGATCACCAGGGGTACAAGGTTTTGACACAGTGCCATATGAACGGGGAGGTGAACATCAACCTACAAGCTATTTCAATGTGGCTCCAGGGCTGGCGGGCAGCCCGGGAGCTGCGAAAGACATTGGCAAAGCTGCCCGAGTTGAGGTGCAAAGCTGCCTGTGATGGGGCGTTGAAGCGGCAAAGTCGGGAATTTTACGGAATATCGGATAACGTATGTTATATAATGTTGCATATATATATATATACATGTGTGTGTATATATCTATTTATATATGTATGTATATATATATATATACATTATATACATTATATATAAATATGTTTGGTGCCAGTTGAGATACATCAATATCAGAGTGAACCTTTTGGAACCAACTTTGCCATCCATCAAAATTCCGATGGTTTATCATCACTTTCCTGGTTGTGTGCTTTTTGGGCTATCCAGTTTGGACACATCAATTGTCAATGTCTTGTTTTTGGCAAGGACGCGTCAATCTGACTGTTGATATAAAATATAGCGGCCTCATTGGCCGACTTCACCATTCATGGAAATTTGTCAGAGGAACAACCATGCAGATGGCTTTGAATGAGGACGGGCAATTACTATAGTTTGCCCGGATTTGTGTCACAGATCCCACAAGACCCAACCCAAAAAGACTTTTACCATTTGGATCCATTTGTGGGTTTGAAACAACTTCGAATATTGAGGGTTTCTGTTGGGTCTACCCCCAGTGAGCAACCTGACATTTTTCCCTCCAAGTTATGTTTGTTGGTTTAGTTCATCCGACAAACTACAGAAGATAAGATCGTATACCTACCACAACCACCAGTTAATGTGCTTATAAACCAACCTAGCTATACCTAGCTAACAAACTGGGGGGAAGCACCTCGATAAAACCCCATGAAATCACAATGTTTCATACATAGTTATATCTTATATCAGTTGTATAAATCCCAGAAACAATCCCATATGCTCCATGGTGCTGGAATATTTACCAACATTTACCCCATTTTTATCACCCAGTTTTGTAGGTAAATATACCAGCACCATGGAGCATTTCTGGGATTTTTTAAATCCGAACGAAAAGTCACCGTTTTTGTAGCAAAGTCGGGCCGGGTGGTGGGGGTGCCCTCAGATTTTCGTAGGAAATTGGTGCACCGCATTGGTCGCCGTGCGGCCGTGAAGGGACCCAGACGATGGTTGCCGGGAGAAGAGGAGGTGGAGCTGGGCAGCTGGGCCATGCAGCCGTTGATGGGTGGATCATAACACGACTTGACGAATTTTGAGGAATTCACAAAACTTTTGAAGACTTTTAAGGAATCTATTATTATTATTGTTATGAACAGGAAAAAACGCATAGGAAAATAGATAGGGAAATAATTAGGGAAATCGATAGGGAAATAAATCGGGAAATAAATAAAGACCTAAATAGCTAGGGAAAAACATAGGAACATAAATAGGGAAATAAATAATGACATAAATAGGGACAAAAAAGTGGTACATAAATAGGGAAATAAAGAGGGAAATCAATAAGGACAGGATTAGGGAAATAAATAGGTAAATAGGAATAATGAGGGAAATAAATAAAGAAATAAATGCTGAAAGAATTAAGGAAATAAATCGGGAAATAAGTAGGGAAATCAAGAGGGAAATAAATCGGGACATGAATAGGGACATAAATAAGGAAGTAAATAGGGAAATCAATAGGGCAATAAATCGGGAAATAAATAGGATAATAATAGTGAAATAAATAGGGCAATAAATAGGGACATAAAATGGGAAATACATAGTGAAATAAACAGGGCAATAAATAGGGACACAATTAGGGAAATAAATAGGGAAACAACTAGGGAAAAAATAGGGAAATAGATAAAGAAATAAATAGGTATATATATATAAATAGGGAAATAAGTAGGTATATATATATATAGGGACATTTTAAGGAAATACATAGGTAAATAGGGAAATAAATAGGTAAATAGGGACATAAATAGGGTCATAAATAGGGAAATCAATATGGCAATACATTGGGAAATGACTAGGGAAATAATAGTGAAATAAATAGGGGAATATTGTTGGAAATAAATAGGGACGCAAAAAGGGAAATAAATAGGGAAATAAAACGGGAAATAAATAGGGAAATAAATAGGGAAATAAAATGGGCAATACATAGTGAAATAAATAGGGCAATAAATAGGGACATAAATAGGGAAATAATTAGGAACATAAATAGGAAAAAAACTATGAACATAGATAAGGAACTAATTTAGGGAAAAAAAGGGAAAAATCTAGTGAAATAAATAGGGGAATAATTAGGGAAATCAATAGGGAAATAAGTAGGAAAATGAATAGGGAAATAAACGGGGAAATAGGGAAATAAATGGGGAGATGAATAGGGACTTGATTAAGGAAATAAACAGGGAAATGAATAGGGAAATAATTAGGGACATAAATAGGAAAATGAATTGGGAAATAAATAGGTACATTTAGTTCGAGTTTTTTTTCCCAATTTTGTCCACAATTTTCTGAGAAGATATCCGACTATTTTTCCAATCTTTCCGAGAATTTTTCTCTCTAAATCCAAGAAAATCAAACACACAACAGTTTTTTAAACAAAAATCCTAATAAATTTCCATAAGTTTCAAAATCATTCCTATTTTCCTGAATATTGTTCTCCCAAGTTTTTCATTTTTTTTCTTGCTGGTGCTTAGTAGGGAATGGATGGGAATGGGGGTTGCTGGGATTATTAATACTTATTGTGGATCATTCCCTCATTCCCTACGTTTAGCACCAGTAACTGGTTGGTGGTTTCAACCATGGCTTTTATTTTCCATCATATATGGGACAATCCTTCCCATTGACAAAGTCATATTTTTCAAGATGGTTATTGCACCGCCAACCAGATACCCTGTGGTAAACATACAAAAAAAACTATGGAACATCACCATTTTCAATGGCTAAGGTTATAAACACCACATTGCCCAACTGATGGCCCACTTACTCCCATTTCAATTATCCATTTCCATTTCAATTATCCATGTTTCCATAAGGGTAAGGTAAATCCACAATTTTCAATGGATAAATCGACTATAAATCCACTATTTTTCAATGGGTAAATCCACTATAAACCCACCATTTTCGCGCAGAAGCCCGGGCAGACAGCACCAGCTGAGCTCTGTGGTTCCAGGAGTTGGTCGCCAGCCACGGTGTGGCGCGTAGCGTCTCTGCGCCCACGCAGACGGCGGGGCTCACGCGGAGCGGCTGTGTGGAGCTGATGCTACCCATGGAGGTGGGGGGATGGGTCCTGGGAAAGGGGTGGTTCATAGAATTGGATGATGGGAAAATTTACAGGAAAACCCTATATTTGATGGTAAAAAACATGGTTTCCTGTAGATTTTCCCTTAAACCAATCCAATGAGTGGTTTGTCTAAGGGAACATGGGATTTTGGGCTGAAATTGGGTAAAAACAAGAGAAAAACTGGGGATTTATGAATGATGCGGATTTTTTACGAGTGAACATGGTGATTTTACCAGCGCAAATTGTTATTTAGCCAGTGGAAAATTAGGTGGTTTAAGCAACGAAAGAAGGAATGGCGTCAACTTTCACCAACGAAAAATGACGTGCTCACCACTACAATGTGGATCGAAACTACAAAAAAGTGGATCTGAGTAAAAATCAGATAGTGGATTTGGATGGATTTGGTGCTTAGGATGGTGGGGGAACCAGCCCAAGATCATCTTATGCGAGCGGATGAAACCTGTGGTAATCTAAAACTTGATTTGTTGGAAAATCCCATCAATGTCAATCTTTTTCATAGGAATGTCACTTGTTCATGGACATACATTGTACCCTCTGGTAATTTGACAGTTCGCTATTGAACATGGCCATAGAAATAGTGGATTTACCCATTAAAAATGGTGGTTTTCCATAGTTTTTTGTATGTTTACCAGAGGGTAACTTGGTCATTGCCAGTTGAGACTACCAGAAGGAGTCGTTTATTGTTCAGGAGCCTCCGTGGTCCAAAAACGGAGGGGGGAAATGGCGGGTTCAACCATAAAAAGTGGTGATTTCGAACCAGAAGAACGGGAGAATTGGCTGGTTATGCGTGGTTAGAAGCTCGTAAAACCTGAGTTTGAAAGCAGAGTTACTCTCAGCTTCGGTGGGTCCAAGTGTTTCCACTCACTTGAGAGCGCCTGCCGCACAGTTTCAGCCCACCGAGGCTCATTTGCTGGTCTATGGCCGTCGCCACCGTTCGGTGAGGCCTGCGACGGGTTGGTGCTGATGGTTGGCAAAGTTTCTAGCTACCATGTCACAAGCCAAACTGGGCCAATCATTATTGGGGCTCCATAGAATATAAAGGCCCAAGTGGGTAGCTCCACGATATTCCTCTGATATTTTCCCCAAATATATACATTAATTCGCAATGTTAAATCCCATTAAATCCAATTTAATCTCATTTTTTGGTGAAATCCCAATATAACTCCCATTAAACATCCCTTTATAAATACCAACATTTAGGACTCCTTAAACATTTATAATCTATAAAACATTTGCACTCCTATTAACCTTTATTGCAATTCTCATAAATTAGTCCTCTATTATACATCCCCATATGTCCGCAATTTTTGAACTTCAACGGCACCAGGGCCCTGCACCACTCGCGACGCCTGGAACAGTCGCTGCTGAGTTACCAGAGGGCCTCGTGGCTGGACGTGCCAACGCACGAACGCCTCTCCGAGGAGGTGGTCAAGGGACATCATGGGACATAGAAGTTGATGGGTTCATAGGGGGTTGATGGGGTTATTAATGGTTAATAGTGATTTATAGTGATTAATTGGAGTTATTTATCCCATTATATAATCCATTAAGTTTGATGGGATTTTCTATGAACTTAATGGATTTATAGTGGATTAAAAAAGGCCATGGTCAAGGGACATCATGGGAGTTTGTTTTTGGATTTTCAATGGACTAAATGAGGACTTAATGGGATTATGAATGGTTAATGGTGGTTAATGGTTATTGATTGTTTTTATGGGAATTTTGATGGACTTCGTGGGGATTTCATGGGGTTTATACAATGGGATGCAACAACCAACAATGGGAAAATGGGGATATTTTGATGGCTTGCATGTTTTTTTGTTTTTATGGGGTATGGTGATCCATAAACACCGCACGCCCAGGTCTGATTTTTTTTTAGATGTGTCCAACGATGAAACAACTCCCTCTTTTCAAATTCGATGCTTGTATATGGAGGTTTCCCAAAATCATCCAAATTAGATCATTTTGGTATTGAAACCCATGGTGACTTGGGGATCCCATTTTAACACCAGATATCTCTTTACCTTTGCAGATGTTCACCACGTAGTCGCGGGGTATACCGCACGGCTCCATCCCGTTGGTTTCCGGCAGATGCGCCCCGCTGGGGAGAATGGTCCCTTGATCCTTTGCCTGGACACCAGTGGCAGCATGGGGCGCAAAGGAGAGAGCTGTGCTATGGTTGTATGAAAAAAACAAATCACCAAAAAATGGGGAACCAGTTGGAGCTGGCAATTCAGTGACCCCATGATAATGACTGGTAGTGTTGTGTTTCTAAGACTTTACATCTTTCTCTTGTTTTTTTTTGGAGCTTGGAAGGTTTGTTTGACAACATGCGAAAAAACCTGAAACGACGTGTTCAAGCGCTAGGAGGTGCACCCGAGACCGTGGCCAAAGCCTTGGTGTGCCTTGGTCGCGTTTGTTGAGGTTGCGAGGACTTACCCAGGTGGTTTTGCCTTGAGGTTTGAATGCCTCCGCCAAGCACAGCAGCAGAAACGTCGCTGCTACCTCTTCGCGTTCTCCACGGGCTGCTTGGTGCTTGGGGGTAGATTCATAGAGTGGATTTTGGGGCTATTTCTGCATTTTTGCATCCTGAGAGCAAGGCCCCCTCTCCAGTTACAGTATAACTTGCTCTTACACCCCATCCAACTATAGAGATATCTACCCAATCATCCAAAATCTTTGAGCAACATATTTCAACCACCTTGGCTAAGTTTCGGATCCCCCCTTCCTGCAGGTCCTTCTCCTAGCCCTAGGCGAAGATCTGCAGGAGATGGAGCTGGACTTGACTTCCGACAACCTGCAAGGCGTTCCCAGCAGTAGGTCAAGACTTGAAGAACACCTGGGATGCTTAAAGAAAAATCGAACAGAATTTGGGGATGTTCCATTGCTAGGTTAGATTGCCAGATCTCATTTCTTCTGCTTAAAACCATTGCTTTTTGCAAGTGAAATACCCATCGCTTCACCTGGCTGGAGGTTTATTGGACTTTCTCAGCTGGGCCTTTCATGGTGGCACCTCTCTCAACGAGGCGGGCAAACTGAAGATCTTTCAATTTTTACGAAGGGAAGTCATCTTCTAGAGTTCTTTATGTTATTTTCCACAGCAAAAAGGTATCGAACCATGAATTTCCAAGATTCTAAGATCCATTTTTGGGTGTTCCATGTCGGTTTCCGGAGGTTTAAAAGGCAACCTTTAAAGGTTGCCGCGCTTCGCTGGCAGGTGCTCACCGCCAGCGTGGAACGACTGCATTTGGCCAACTGGCAGAATGCCGATCTGTTGCTGGTGACAGTGACCTTGGTGGCAGCCAATCGCTAGTGTTGGTTGGTTTTTTGTTCTGGTTCTCCACTGATTTTTGTCAACTTTCATTGGTAGTGGTTCTTCATCCGGTCTTTTGATGTCTTTTGCCGTGGTTGTAACGTTGATGAGTTTGTTCCTTAACCATCGTTTTTCTCTGTTGTCCTGGTGTATTCTTAGAAAATTGAACGAGGGTATACCGGTATACCTTCTGGTACTTAAACAGAGCAATGGAGCTTTTCCATGCTTTTCCGCTCTTTGCACATGATTTTCCAATCAAAAGCTCCATTGAAAAAGGTGGCCCAGCCAGCCAGGGATCAGCCCGCTCAAGGACGGTGAAGTGCCACGGGTGGAAGAAAAAGTCATGGAAGAATTGGAGGCCTGGAAAGTCATGGGTGGGTCATGTCATTGGTAAACCATGGCCCATGGTGGTGAGCACATGGCAAGCCCATGACTTTTTTGGGAAGATCTGTTTGTGAACCAACACTGGTGGTTTGCCAACAGGGTACAAACCCAGCAAAATGATCGGAAATCCATGTGCAACATGTCTCAGATCACCAGGAAGCGAAATCCTGCGGTGCGCGTGTCTATGGCGTGGTGGTGGGTTTCTTGGCCGAATTCGCCAAAGATCGGCCGAAGTTCGGCGTAACAAGTTGAAGTCTTTCCGTGCAGTCGCACTTCGATGCTTCGATGTGTCAAGAGCTTTACAAAAGAAGTTCCAAAGCTTTGGACAACCATCATTTCACATAGATAAATAGATATAAATGTGGTAAATACAAACTGAAGAGGCCATGGCTTTCATAGCTATGTATAGCTATGTTACAATACCAGAGGGTACTGTAGCAACGTGTCCCAAGTCACCAGGCGCCCGTGACCCGGTGAGGCAACAAGACCGGCTCCGTGATGATGGAGGTGTGCTCGGAGCTATATCACTTCTGCCAACGGCCAGGTGAGATGGGTGGGGTGGGTGGGATGATCAACATCAACAGCCTGGTGGATGAAAGATAGGGATGTCCCCCGAAAACTGTGATACTTGGCTAATGTTGGCTACTCAAATGGATAGCCCCCCAATGATACTAAGCAATGCTTTTTTTATTCAGATGGGGTTGAGATGAGGACATTTGGACTGTAGAAATTGTAGGACGCAACACTTGGGTACTTGGATGGTCCGTGGTTGCTTGATGAGTCATGCAGATTTCTAGGTGGACAGTATTGTCCCGTCAGCATCCTGCTTGAAATGTGTCAAACGATGTCAAGCCCAATGGTAGATCCGGATTCTATTTTTAAGCTAAATCAAAGCACCTGAATATCCAGAATTGTCAGAAAATTGTCGACTTGGGCTCATCTTAGCATTGGTTTACCAGAATGTTTGCCAAACAGAGATTCATTATTGGAGTTCGTTATTTCCATCAGTCTTACAGGATTATAATCATCACTATTCCGACCATTTCCTTTTTTTTTTCTCGAAGATAGTTTTACACGCTTCAACGTCAAACATGCACATGAATATATATATATATATACAGTATATATATAAAATATAAATATAAATATATATATATATATATACATATTTGACATTATACAATCTGGTGGAAAGCTGGTTTACTATGCCAGCCAGGGATTCATAGAGTTGGATCATCCACCACCACCGACAGCCCCAGGCGATTTCCACCCGACCGAAGGCACCGCTCGCGGTGCCCTCGACTCGCGCAGCTGGGCGCTGCGGCGCGTGGCCACCGCGGCGTTACCGCCGAAGCGAGGGAGGTGTGGCCGGGGGATGCCTTGACATATGGAGGTTGCCATAGAGATGGGGGTACCCTCTGGTAAACTAACATAACTATGGAAAATCACAATTTTTAATGGGAAAACTCACTATAAATGGCCATTTTCAATAGCTATGTTAAATTACCAGAGGGTACCCGGGTACCCCGAAATCATCCATAAATCATCCATTTTCATAGGATGTTCCATGATTTTCCCGTATACTGTAAATCGTCCATTTTGGGGTATCCACAATTTATGGAAGGTACCCCAAAATCATCAGTTTTAATGTCAACCCCGGATTAATTTCAACCACGGTTTATGAATTAGGAAAGGTAGGAAAGTACTCCTCCAATAGTCATAATCTGATACTTTTTTATGGCACCCTCCCAATTAAACAATCTAGGGGTTTATTAATCCAGGGTTGGCATTAATAGGATGTTCCATGATTTCCCCCTATAAATAATCCATTTTGGGGTATCCCCCATTTATGGAACCCCCCATATAACGATATGTTATTTATGGTGAAAGAGAAAACGGTAGATATTTGAATTATCTGTATAAATATATACATATGGTTATATATGTCTTTATCTTCATATTTGGTATATGTAAATAAGTATTTGAAGCAACTTTCACAGCTCGAGTTGTCTGTTTGTGAATGCTCTTCTTGAAATCGGAGGGATTAGCTTCGGTAACCATGAGCTTGGCAGGTCACTATCTACCAAAGCGGCTTTGACAGGCAGCCGGCGGTAGTGTTTTTGTTTCCTGAAGGGAGTTGATGGGAAATGCGAAAGCAGATTGCCGACCTCAGACTCATGGCTTGTTGGAATTTACACTTCACAGCTACACAGTTGTGCAAAATTGATGTGCTTGTATCTCCAAATGCAGCAGTGATGTTTGTTGCTTTACCCCATCCAACATCATCCAACTGGTTCGATACATCTACCATAACCCCCACACTTAGTCACCACTTAGCCTACTTACCCTCCAGTAAATTAACATAGACCCTGGTAGTTGTTGGGGTTGGAAGATTAGTTTCCTCTAAAAAATTGGTGATTTTCAGGGTCAACAAGTTAATTTACCAGAGGGTATAAACCAACTTAGCTGAGGCCTGGGGGGATTCCAACGGTCACAGGTGCCACCCTGCCGGGTTCACCACAGACCTCCAGCGTGCGCGGCGTGTGCGGCGCTACTGTCTGTGCCTATGGGGCGTCGCAGCAGCGCCGGGGGATGGAGACGCGGGAAGAGTCACTTGGAAGGCACTGGTGGGTGGCTTGAAAAAGATATTTAATATATTTAATAGTAGGCCTACATGAATAATAACCCCATAATTTAATGTTAAATAATATATATATATAGCCTACACAGCAGCAGCACCTCTTCTGTTCTCAAAAAAATTGTTGGAAAACCGGTACTGTGGTAGACCCAATGGGGTCACCATCGCCAAGACGATGGAGGTTGAGAGGTTGAAACTGGGCCCCGTGTATGGGATGATGTCGAATGACCAAATGGGTAGAGGGATGGTGACTATGGCACTGGGTTTGCCACATGATTCCATATCTACCTGAATTTACTGGAGGGTAATCATCCATCCATCTGGCAGTGGACTCACATCGTTACATCCTTGGCCATTTTGGTGTGTGTGTATATATATATATATTTAAATCTATACCCAAGGGGCTGTCAAATCCACCAAGTACTGCTTTCTCGGTTCCACGCCCAATTGTCTCAGGGAGCTAGGTTTACTCTGCCTCCGCTGCATGGCTCACACCTCTCCGAGAGAGACCCCGCCCCTGCAACAAACTCGGCTATTTGAGCGGACAAAAGGAGCAACCCTCTGGTAAACTGTCACATAACTATGGAAAATCACCATTTTCAATGGGTAAATCCATTATAAATGTCCATTTTCAATAGCTATGTTAAATTACCAGAGGGAAATTGCAAACGGATCCATGCCCAAGTCCTTTCAACACCCGAGATTCTTCACCCCAAAAATTATCCTAGTCAAACCGAACAAGGTTTAGCCAGGTGAATCTTTGCCCGTAACCTTTGCACCCCACTCCACTGCCTTGCTGGTGCCATGCCGTCCTTCCATACTACCGATGGCGTCACGCTGAACTACCTCGTGCAGGGCCCAAGTGAAGGCCGGAGGAACGTTGGGGTCTTGAGTGGGCTATGGTCCCTCCCACCGCAGGGAAATTCAAAAAACACATCCAAAAATTGCTCAGAAAACAACGGGATTCCCGGATCTTCCCATCTTTGTTGATTGATGAAGCTGTTTGGTTTTCACCATAGTTGTTACTCCTGGATAGGGTCCAATTTGTGGTGTGCTCTTGCGTTTCGGAAGAGCATCAGCCTGTACACAGTATATGGTTGTACAGTATGTATACATAAACATATACACATGAAATACTCTATTTATCTCCATATGCATCTACGTGTATCTACGGTATTTACCTACGGCATGTATATTGTACCATATGTTTATACACCCATGATATCATACGCATTCTTTTTCTTAACATGCACATATTCACCGGCCAAACACTACAGCCGAGGCATAGAGACCTTGGTCTTTGTTCCAGCCTTCTGTCAGCCTGCGTGGCTGCTTGGCCAAAAACGAAACAGATGGGCTGCAGAATGGCTGGGACCCGCTGGGACAATTCTGGGACAGTCATTTTATGAATCCACGGAACAAAAGGATAATGAAGATCATGACTGTACTAAAGTGGTGTCTAAAGTGGTGCTGCGAAAGAGGATTACGCTGTCAGTGGGTTGTGTTTTGCGCTTCTTCTTTTGGGGCGCTATGCTGAGAGAGCAGTGGATACTCTTCAGCATCACTCGCCTGATCCCTGATCCAATGTTTGCTTTCTGTTTGCCCATCACCACTGACAAGTTGGGGTGATCTGGGTAAATCTTGGATGGAACTTTTTAACACTCGAAGCTTTGACACATGGGCAGAGTTGCTAACCAGCCGAAAGCTTATTTTTTTTGGCAGGGCATCTTTGATTGGCCATGTTGCCAAACGAACAGCACACTTGGAATTATAAATCATTTATCCATTATTACCCCATTATTAGCCATCAAAAATCCATTGGCTAAAGGCTATCATTAGCCAACTAGCACTCCGCTATTGTTAACCATTGACAATATTAATCCATCATTAACCCATTATCAACCATCAAAAATCCACTAACCAACTATCACTATTGTAACCATTATTAAACCATTATAAACCAATCAAAACATCCATTAAGTACCACTATTAATCCATCACTAACCCATCAATTATTAGCGATTAAAAAATCAATTAGCTACCAACTATTATGATGGAGTAATACGCTATTATAATAGTGGTTATCATAGGTTAATTGTAGGTTAATAGTGGTTAACCCACAATTCGGCACCCAATATTTCCAGTTCCTCCCAGGCTCTACGTGGACTGCCTGCAGCCCGTGGCCGCCCGCGGTCTGCGCTGCATCACCCTGGACCACCGCGGCCATGGCACGTCGCAGGCACCCAGCTACGGGTATCGCCTCGCCAGGTGGGGCTGGGGGGAGAGATTTGGGTGGGAAAATCTAGGGGAAATCAGGGGTTTTCCATGGTTTTTAGTCGAATCTTAGGGTTTTCTGATGTTTTCTGATGTTTTCTCTCTTGGATTGATGTCTTTTGCGGACACCAACTGGTAAAGGGTAAGTTTTACCACCACACGTGGTGGTTTAAGCAACAAAACATGGTTTTAACCCATCAAAAATTGGGAGCAACTGACCGGTGAACAGCAGTTTTAGTATGCGTTGATCTTTTGCCACAAAATGGGGGAACATCTCATACCTAAGATCTCTTTTTTTCTTGCAGGCTTTACAAGATCGGCAACTTTTTTTTTCGCTTCGGGGGTCTGAGTGGATTCTTTTTGGCTTGAACTTTTACATCTATACACCACCAAGGATGGCCAAAGATCTCCGTGAACTCCTCGAACACTTAGAGCTGTCAGGAGCGGCTGTGGCACCGATCATGGCATCCAGCAAAGGGGATGCCAACCGCAGTTAGATGGGCCATGGGATTAACGATTCCTGGTGAGTAAGTGGCTTAAAAAGAAACATATTATAACCTATGTCCTAATCATGATCCATTTACTAACTAGTTAATAACTAAATCCATGGCCCATCTAAGCAGGTGATGCACTGGTTGATGGTGCGAGAAGAAACATCTCAACATCAAAAGAATTTGAGAGAAATTATCCCATCAGCTATGCTTCAGGAGTGGTGCTGGCGGGGCATTCCATGGGTGGTGCGGTGATGTGGCAATACCTGGAACTGTTTGGTCAGGACCGCCAGGGATAGCATCGGGGGGAACCTTGCAAGATCGTTTTTTTGCAGAGCTGGAAACCCACTAAGCTTGGTGGTATATGAGGATTATGAGGCTTTCCCTTATTTTTTCCCCAAAATGTTGAAAACTTCCCCCAAAAAACACCAAAGATGGGCCAGTTTTTTTCTCATTTGGTTCCCCAACATTTTGAAGACTCCCCCAAAAAACCACCAAAGATGAGCCAGTTTTTTTCATGTCTCCCCACCCTGGACATCATCCCCGCCATCTCCAACCAGGACAAGATCTCCAAGCTGATTCTCTGCGACCAGATGGCATCAGGTCTCATCCGTCCCAGCTGGTCGCTGGAGCAGCGCGCGCAGTACGGCGCGCACGCCTCGGGGGAGGAACTGCTGAAGCTGGTGAGCGACGTGGCGGATGAGGAGCAGGCGGACCCAAGACGCGAATTCCTGTGCCTGGGGAGGAGATATATGGTACTTGTTTTTTGGGAAAAGGATTATTTTTTGATGTTTTTCTTGTTTTGGTTTTGAAGGTTGATGTTGGGACCCTGAAGGCTGATGCGGAATAGTCTGCTTGGGTCACTTTTACTTTTATGATTTGACATGACAATTTTTTGGGTGTGATGCCTAATGCTGATGCTTGACTTTCAAGGTAATGAAGGGTGTAAAATATTGGTCAAACCTTTTATTTTTAGGCTCTTGAACTCAAAGCATTCGTCATAAAGAGAGAGAAGGGATGTTCTGGTTCAGCCTTGGTTTCATAGGTTAACGTTTTTTTCCCTTGCCATAAACGGGGCTATTCACTTATATATTTACCTACTAGAATTATATATCTACAGTACCAGTGCCTTCCAGGCCAGGAAGGAGCCCAATATTTTTGACCCATCCCAGGTCAACTATGTTCACAGAAAACTATCCAGCAGAGGCCAAGGTGCTGGAACTGCGGCGTTTGAGAGGGTTTGAGGGTTATACATGTTTATACTATCCTTTGTATACAGGGGATTATCATGATTGTAGGAATATGTCTAAGTGGGTTAAGTGGGTTGCAAGTCGCCTGCTGCTGGTGATATTTGAAGAAATTTGAGTAGAGGTGCATGAGCACTATAGTGATTATGTCATGTCACCTTGTCAGTTGCTTGTAGTTTTTTTTTGGTAGACAATGGCAACGAACACTGAAGCCGTCTTTGAACTGCGGAAACAGTTCAAGATTTATCGAGAAACATTTTCACGGTTGTTGGCGAGTTGCTATATTGGTGATGAAGTCCAAGCCTTACTTCAATATGTGACCAACCTTGTTAGCATAGTAATGCGGTGAACTCCATAATAAGTCATCCCCAAAATCATCAGAAATGTGTGGTCTAAATCATCCTCAAATGGTAGGTTTGTGATTGGGTTTCCCACATGATCTTACTGGTGCTTAGCAGTGAACGAGGGAATGATCCACAATAACTATCAATAATCATCCCAGCAACCCCCAGTCCCATCCATTCCCTACTAAGCACCAGTAGGTTATATCCCCTTACATCCCGGTTTTTGTTGCTCCAATGGCCATTTCTTGGTGGACGCCATGCAGGCTGCCGCCCTGGATGCCGCCTGTGGCGTGCCCCGCAGCGCGGGGGCGCGGCTGGTGCTGGACACGATGTCGGCGGATTTCCGGGACGTGCTGCCGCGGATCACGCTGCCCACGTTGTGCATAGGACGGGTGTGGGGATGGGGATGGGGATGGGGTGGGGAGTAGATTTTACCAGTCTTGATTTTGGATTGGAATAACTTTTTTTTTTGGGGGGGGGATGTCAAAAATCACTGCATTTGTGATCATGTTTGGATGTGTTGTGAATTTTTTGGATGATCTACCCTTTGGTAAACTAACGTAACTATGGAAAATCACAAATTATAATGGGTAAATCCGCTATAAATGGCCATTTTCAATAGCTATGTTAATTTACCAGAGGGTACCCCCTATGCTAAAGTTTCAGGGTTTGTTTGGATGGGAATGTTGGATGGGGGATGGAGCGGGACAACGCTGGCTAGGAGGTACCTGCAGCCACCTGAAGGACTGCACGCCATGGATTGCCTCGCAGATTCCTCAGTCCAAGCTGGTCATGGTGGAAGGCCAACAGGGGGATATTGAGAAGTGGTTGGCTGGGGATTGTGGTGGCTCGGATAACATACAGAAGTGGGTGGATTTATGCTGAATTTCCGGCAGCCAGTGTTTTTGAGCGCCTACCCGCTGTGGTTTGTGATTTGCCTAAGTTTCGTTCCCTAATCATGTTGGTCATTTTTCAGGTTGTTTCTACATGCCCATATTTTTTTGATCGATAGTCGATAGTTGTTTCGGTTTGTCTTCCTCTTATGTGTGTACTTTTCCTGTGTTGGTAGTTGGTAACCTGGTAGACTCGTCGTTCTGGCAACCAGCTTGCCTCTGCTCTTTGTCAAAATCCAGGTGGTAGCCACTTCATGCTGGTGGAGGATCCAGCACGTTTCGCTGCCGATGTTCTCGCCTTCATCGGACGATGATCTTCCGACATGGCAATTTTTGGGGTTCCGTCTTACCCTACCTGTGGCAACCACAATGTTGTGGAAATACACCACAGAGTCCCCCATTATCAGATAGATAAAGCACATAATCTATCCATGGGGCAATATGGGGCCATCTTCTGCTTCAAATCGTTCCTTTAGGTAGGGCAACTTCTGTGTGTGTGGATCCATTGGCTCCGAAATGGATCCAGCTCACTCTGGGTGGCTCAAATTTTGGAGTGCGCTATTTGCTTCAAAGCATGCCTCGGCGGCTCTTTGGCAATGATTCGCGCGCGCTTGCGTCTGCGTTTGCGGTTCAGAAGTTGGGACCCGAATGAGATCTGTTTGACACAGACTTTAGGGGGGTAACAACAGCTATGAAATGGTGTGCCATTTCTTGTCCTTTTTGTGGGACATCATGAAACATCTAATCCCGTCTTGTGTCCATCTTTCTGAGCCGCACCTGTCACTCCAGTTGCTTGTGGAATGTCGCTGTGTAGAGATGCCATTGCGACCTCCATTTTGACAGCTGCAGCCAGAAAAGAGGAGGCTGCCATTGGCTGGGACATCACAAGGGGACAAGGCTGATAACTTCCAACGTAGGACTGCCACTTGAGTTGCTTCCTGTTGAATGCCTACTGTACTTGGCGCTCCTGGCACGATCATCCAACTTAGTAAGTGATTAGCGATTAGTGACCGGCGTTCATGGTTCTTACTGGCTGATACATGGAATCATCCGGCTTGGAGGACTGACTGGCTATGGTTTCTTCTGTAGCCACTTGCTGGTTGGGATGATTTTGGCAGCATTGCCACTGTGTTTGTTGCCCTTCTTCTCAAAGAAGCGGGTCGTGTCCGGGTACTCCGTAGTTGGGATGATGGCACCTTGCAGCCATTCAGCAGTGGCACATCGCCGGGTCGGTTTGAAGATCCTCGTGGTGCTGTGGGCACTCAGCTTGTGGTTTCATTTGGATGGACTGCAGCATGTGAGGCCAGCAGCTGCATTAGCTTGCCAAAGTTCTGGGCCACTTGTGTCAAGGGCCTGCGTGCCTCGAGGGTTGGATGTGGAAAAGTTTCACACGTGTGCGCCAAAGAAGCTAGAGCCAGGTGAGTGGGAACAGAGGCTAGCAGAGGCCATCGAAAAAAAGGCTTACCCCACGAGGCGAAATCCACGGAGGGTGCCTGACAAGCATGGAAGGTGGAGATGTAACAAGTGCGGCCAGATGCTTCCAGAGGATGCGTTTACACTGGTAAAAAGCGGTGGCCGACAGATCCCACTGATCTACTGCAAGAGGTGCATGAACAGATATCAGAGTCAGCAACGTCGGCTTTTGCGGGGCAATCTTCAAGTTATCCTGGACACGGCAAAGAAGCGAGCCAAGCAAAAGTTGAAGTGTACCTTGACTTGGGATGACCTTTATCAGATGGTAAGACGTCAGCATGGAAGGTGCGCATATTCAGGTGTGTCAATGGAAACATGTACACCAAACAGCCACTGGAGGATGTCATTAGAGAGACGAGACAACAGCAAAGGCTATTCTAAGGAGAACTGTGTGTTTGTTGCTGCAGAGTTCAACACAGGCGATTGCAGCCGGCACAGAGGAGTCAGGAAAGAAACAGTCAAGGGAACTGCCCAGTGGTCGCACCAGAAGGTTCAAGCAGTGTTTGACTTGCGACAGCAGGATGTAGATCTCGAGGTGTTGCGCAAAGACATCGAGACAGCTCGCCATAGGCCACAGCTGTCAACTCGTCGAGCAAAGTGTCCAGCAGTTGAGCCGACTGCACCTCACCAAGACTATGTCTATTGCCGTGCATGTGCAGAGTTTCTTGATCCTCACAATTTCACTCCTTCAGCACTTGTTCGTGGTGGGGAGTGCAAAGCTTGCAAGCGAGAGTACCATCGTGCTTTCAGTTCCACCTTGAGGGGGCATGTTCGAAACTGTTTGAATAATGCGAGGCATCGAGCTAGGAAAAGAGGGCAGCCGTTTTCCTTGGACCTGCAGCAGGTGCTTCACATGCTGGAACAGCAAGGAGGTTGTTGCTACTACTCCGGCGTGCCTTTGGAGTACAAGCGACCTCACAGCGACTGGCGGATGTCCCTTGAAAGACTGGACAATTCACTCGGCTACACCCCTGAAAACTGTGTGCTGATTGCCATAGAGTTCAACACCTCTGATCAAAGCCGCAATAAAGCAACTACAGAGGTGTTCGGAACTGCTCAATGGTCACGTGAAAAGGTCGAGCACATTTGGGGCAAAACCGGTTGGGCCAAGAAGTCTATCCCAGTTTGAAAGCCCAGCAGATCCTGCTGACAGCCTCCCTGCTTCTAATTCAGTGCAAGTTAATGCCATTTCCATATGGAGGCCAAGTGGATGACCCATCGACTACATCCTACTGGAATTCATGATTGCACCACCAAGGATTATGCATCTAGTGCCAGAGCTGCAAGCGTCTACGCAAAGGTATCAAAAAGTGAGGGGAATTTGGGTTGGAAGAAGAGGTCCTGGCCAGCTATTGGGGCACGGGTTGTATGCCAAATGAACATTGAGGCTGGAATCGGTGAATGTGTCATTGGGTGTGAAATGGTATGATTCTCCGTTCTTGTTACCTTGTTACTCCATTCTCAGTAGTGCAGACCTGCTCATGTACCCCTACCATTTCCACCCTCAGAAAAAGAGATGCAGAATGCCCCTGCTACTGAACAGATCACCAGATCATCTCAGTTGTGACTGTTTGTGTCTGGAAGAGTGTCCCAAGTTATACCGTGGCGCTTGGCGCGCATGCCGGTTGGTTGCTATGAGAACCGAGGCGACAAACGCGCGAGCAACGCTGGGCAGAGCGAGAGAAAGCCAGGAACAATGAGCACGAGAAGGTGCGGTGTGTGTCAGGTGGTGTGGGGTGCTTGGATGACCGGCTGCGACTATACAGCATTATGCAACAACTAGCTTCTAAATTGAAGAATGATCCTTCCCGCAGGCTGTTGGTGGTGAAGAAAGCTCGTTAAAGGCTCCCTAGTTGGAGGGCATCATCAGCTGCCACCCACCGTATTCCTTTTTGCGGATATAGCGCTGCCCTGGGCAAATCATGATTAATTAGTAGAGGAAATCGTTGGGACTGATTGCAAGAGATAGCTGTTACTTACAGATTTGCTTCTCACAAGGGTTGGCTGTTGCCCGCACAAATTAACTGGAAGCGCCCCAAAGTATCCCCTCAATTTCACTTGAATTTTCAGGGTTCACAGGATCTAGAAACCGAGAAAATTTGCCGGAAACCACGGTTTTTGCCATGAAATCTATGGGGTTTCTTGGGATTTCTCGCCTTCCCTCGTCCACGGTGAATCCAGGTGGCCCAACGGTCCCCCACCTCGTTGGCCCAGGAGTTGGAGTCGAAGATGGGCAAGCGATGGCAGTGGGTCGGCGGCCGCTGGCTCACCAAGGAGGACCATAGCGACATAGAAAAGGGCCATTTAGTTCGTTGATTTTAAAAAGGAGTCTTCATTTCTAAGGGGTTTTCCATTGCCATGTTTTATCACTGGCTATCCACGAAAAATGGTGATTTACCCTCTGGTAAACTGTCACATAACTATGGAAAATCAATGAAAATCACCGGAAAATCCACTATTTCTATGGCCATTTTCTATGTCGATATGTTAAATTACCAGAGGGTACCCATTAAAATGATTTTCCATAGCAAACTGTTAGTTTACTAGAGGGTAAACTCTAAGGTTGAAATAGGTTGAAGAATCAATTGAAGTTCCTTTTTTTGGTGTTTTGTTTTCTCCGCCTCTCTCCCTCATATGCGCATAATTTCATATAATTATACATGAAAGTCCTTGAGTGGCCGCTGGAGACTGTTGTTAGCTCATGTCAAAATCGAACATGTCACCACCACTTGACACTATTTAGGATGCGATCCGCAAAAGGTGGCCAAAAAACAACAGCGAAACAGAAAAAGCGAGCAAGACTGAAGACTTTTTCCCCCTGGGGGGGGGCACCGGGAACAAGGTCAAAACATGTCAAAACGATGTGAGCAATGGCTTTGGCCCCAGACCTCAGCAGCCGCCAAAGGAGGCTGAAGCACAAACTGCGAAGATCGAGCTGGTCTACCAAGAGCGCCTGAGCCAAATGGAGCTGATGGTGGTTGATTGGGGATGATTTGTTGATATCTTGAAATAGTTGGCCAAGGAGGCGAAGGGATTTCAGACCATTTCAGGTACTCTGAGACAAGTAAAGCCTGGAAATATTTGGGTCTCTTGACGCAGAGGTTGGCTTCAATATCTTTCCCCTGCTGCGAGTTGAAATGTAAGTCCAAATGGGCCATGTCCAATAGCGAAATGATCTTTTGCCCGCGCGTTTGCCATATTCAATTCAATGCCCCGGTTGTATTCTCAATCTGCTATTTTTTGTATATTTTTGTCTCATTTTTGGGCTCTCCCATCACTGATTTTACTGATCTTTTGAGTGCGGTGGGAAGCCACCAAGACTTTTTTACCAAGCCAGGTCGCGATTGGGAGAGGCGCCAAAGATGGAGCTGGCTGACCAACTTGAAACCACCGAAAATGTGATTGGAAGATGGTTCTGGAACTAGATTTTAGAATATTTGATATATGTTTCCAAGTTTCAAACAACTTACCTTAGTTTCATCCACTATCTTAATCCACTATTCGGGATTTACCTGATTCATTCACTAAAGCCAACATTCATCCACAGCTCAGAGGCGACCACCAACTTCCGACAGTTTCAGGGACATTCCCTGCAATCCTCTCTGCCTCAAAGCAAACTCTCAAAAAAACCATCATTTGCTGGTTGATGTGTGCATTTTACGGTTGCACATAGGTTGGTGTACCATTGGGGACGCGGTATTTTTTCTTCCACCCATCAGATCCAGGGCTTCACCAGACTTCCCCACCGCCGCGGAGGCGAACCTGCAGTTGGAACTGAAGCGCCACTTTCAGAGCAGGTTCTGCGGCTATCCCAGCTACAAAACACGAAAAAACATGCGATATCAATGGCTATCAACGGCAATCAATGTATGCAACATGTGTACAGGTAATTAGGTTTGGACATAGAATCTTCTGCAATTCAGAAGTGCATAATTAAGCACTTAAATAATGAATAATCATCATTCATTAACACATTGTATCATTAAATAAACATATGCATATATGTCAATGTAAATTATTGATATTGTATCCTTGCAGCCCTGGAAATATAGCTGAACAAAGATAGATCTAAAGACAGACACATCCTATAGCAGAGCTACAAGAGACTATATCATAGGTTACCAATATATATATATATAATATAGTATATAATATATATATATATCATATACCTATAATGATCTTGTTCTATTGTTTGATATGATACAAGGTGAGACCTCCCAGCTATAAGTCAACATATCACACATCAGCTATATATCCATATGAATCCCATTAAACCCATTAATATTTCTGTTGGTGAAATCACCTTTTTTTGTGACAGTTTCACAACGGGGGCCTCACCTTGCCCCCCAGGTTCCTGCCGCCGCACGGTGCGCAGTCGCAGCCCGATGATCTGGTGGCGGCACAGTGGGCTGAGGTGCGGTTGGAGATTGGAGGGGGGATGATATATGAACATATGGAAGGTCAACCTAATAGTTTATTACATGTATCTGAAAGATATATAAAATATTATAAAATTGTATTCAACATGTATGAAAGTATGGCAGGTCAAATTTAATAATGTATAATCTTGGAGAGGTTAACCTGATAAATTATGATGTGTTGTCACATATTTGTCCCTATCATTACCATCCCCCCCAATTGAAAGGTTGACCCTGAGGATCGCCTCTTTTCTTAAGTTGGAAAGAATCATCTTGCAACCTTGTAGAAGTTGGAGAAGGTGATGGTACCCCCCAGTGTGGAAGTCAAAGCGTTTTCAACAATAAATCGGCGCTGACATAACAATTGAGCAGTGTTCAAGAATTTCTGTTGGTTGATGATTGTAGAGGGTTGTGCTACCCAATATAGGGGGAATATCACAATCCATTAGGGATAATGACAGAGGATTTTGAACACTCCTCACATGGCAAAATGGCATTCTAATCTACAAACGGGATATTTTATGGTGAATTCTACTTGGAATGCTAACCCATGATTTTGCCATCCCCCCCACTTGATTCATATGCAATAAACATGGCCTCTTTTTGGGAACGTGTCACTGACGTGTCTCCGTGTCACCGCAGGAGTTCCTCACGCGCTTCCAGGACCAGCTGCTCTCGCTGCTGGTGCGCGCCTCTCGGGAGGCGTCACGGCTGGGCTGCGCCAAGTTCGAGCCGCAGGCGCTGACCGCGGTGACGGCGCGTTTGGGACGGCGGGATGGGGAGATGGGTTGAGGATGATGGATATGGGTGTCCTGTAGATTTTCCCATGTATGAACCAACATAAATCAATCCATCAATGGATGATGATGATGATGATGATGATGATGATGCCGGTTGCTATAATGTTGTGCATTTCCATTTGTCGCTGTTGGTCATGTCAGGCGGCGTTGCTCGGCCTCTTCCGGTGTCCGGTGGGCAAGGACCGCCCGGTTGTTCGCCACGTGGAAGTCGTGAAGAGACGAGACGTGTTTCTATTGGAAACATGCCCAAGAAATGAAGGACGCCCAAATTTTTGGCACTTTAGCGGCATTTTAATGGCGAAAAAGGTTCTGACAATTATGACAAAGACTTTTGGGCACCCAATTTTGGACTGACCCCTGTTGTCGCGTTCGTTGACGCCCACCATGGTTCCCAGTCAGGGCCCCAACTGAGCGCAGCTTCACAGGAGATTTGTCGGCAGGGCCTTGATGGAAGCGAAGAGGACGTCACGGAGAGGCTCCACATGGCTCCACTGATCGGGAGGTATGGTGATTTCTTGAGGTTTACCCTCTGGTAAACTGTCACATAACTATGGAAAATCACCATTTTTAGTGGGTAAATACACTATAAATGGTGACTTTCCATAGCAAACTGTTAGTTTACCAGAGGGTACCCTCTGGTTATTTGACATAGCTATGATACTATCTATATCTATATATATATATTAGGTGTGTGTGCAATAATAGAGATATAGGGATATTTTTTTGGGCAACATCTATACCCTCCGCTTATTTTTGACATAGCTATGGAAAAAAGTGGATATAACATGATATAGGGATATGATGATGGTGATTGCTGGTGGATCTGCCAGCCACGAAAACGAGAAAACGTATCGGCGTTTTTTTCGGGGTTTCAGAATGGATTTACTGTAACCAAATCCCATGAACGTAGCTATTGAAAGTGGCCATTTATGGTGGATTTACCCAGCCATAAAATGGTGATTTTCCATAGTTACGTTAGTTTACCAGAGGGTAATATGGAAACAAGAAACCAGTTTATTTGTACCCTCTGGTAAACTGTCACAGTTTGCTATGGAAAATCACCATCTTGAATAGGTAAATCAACGAACTAAGTAGGCCATTTTCTATGTCGCAAACTGTAACAAATTACCAGAGGGCAACCAAATCCTATGAACTGCAACCATACAATGTTTTTTTTTTTTTGAGATGTGATGAGGTTGCCAAATCCAATCATTTTTTTCATGGTCACAGTTGATATAGCTGATCAGTAAATCTTAGGATAGAGCCGTAAGCCGAGAAACATGGTGACTTATAGTTGATCTATATATGTGATTTTATGACAGGACAAACATGGCCCAAATCATGTTTGTTGGGATAGTTTGCCCCATCTTACTGTAGATATATCTGCCATAAAACCTAGTTAACCGACTGAACTAAGCCAACTTAGCTAAGTAGGGGCCACCGTCTTGTATATTGGCTGGTTGAATCCAATTTTCGCTGCTGAAATCAAGTCCTATTTTTTGGCACTTACGGTTTTATATACCCTCTGGTAAATAAACATAGACTGAAAATCACCACTTTTTAATGGAAACTAGTCTTCCATCTGCCAGGGTCTATGTTAATTTACCAGAGGGTAATCCATGTTGAAGAAAACAACGGCAATCGCATGTTTGCTGCTTCAATCTGTCTGTATTGGCATTGCCAATGTTCATGGATCAATCCACTTCCGCTGGTGACATCCAGTCCACATGACATGGTTTGTTCCATCTTCATTTCTGAGTCCGACAAAGAAAAATATCCATTTCTGTTGGTTAAACATCTCAATTTCTTGTGCCAAAAAATAGTTACATACCCTCTGGTAATTTGACATAGCGACATAGAAAATGGACTACTTATAGTTGATTTACCTATTGAAAATGGTGATTTTCCATAGCAAACTGTGACAGTTCACCAGAGGGGACCACTTCAGATGACCGCAGATTTCCGCTTCGAACATCGGTCCCAGGTCAAGACAGCAACTGGAGCGTTGTCTGCGACGTACCGCGGAGCGGGATGGGGTACTTAGACTGGGCTACTTTTCCCCTTAATGTATAGTGGTTAACAATGGTTAATGATTAATAATGGTGTTAACCATAATGGTTTCAGGGATATAAGTTGCATGCTAAAAAGATCTAAAACCCATGTATACTATGTTTGAACATGAGGATAAAAAGAACGTGGACCAGTAAAATGGAGGAACGATCAACAAATACACATTGCTTCGTGAAAACCGGGCTAGGTATAAAGAAATAAGCAACATGGTCATTGAGAAATATCCAACCCTCTGCACCAAAAGGGGCTACCAACTCTCAGACATCGCTGTTTTTTCATTCTCCAATCGGCTCAATTTTTTTTTCACCAAACAAAAAGAAAGATGCATCAACTACATAAAGTTCATTGGGGCTAGGAAAACAACACTATGAAAAGTGAAACCCCACTTTTTCGATGGTTTCCCATCCTTTTCCACCGTTTTTTGGGGACAGGGCCACCGAAACTCGCACACGAGGAGGGCAGTTTCGACTTCGAAGATTTGCCCTTCAGCCCGGACCTCCGACACCTCTTGGAGTCTGTCGAGGTGCATTTTTCACGTCAGGGTGGCTGTTCTGTTTGTTTCCCCCGACTCAGTCGCTATGGTAAACCATGGTAAACCATGGTAAACCATGGTAAACCATGGTAAACCATGGTGAACCATGGTGAACCATGGTGAACTACAGTCAAACTACAGTCAAAGTACAGTCAAAGTACAGTCAAACATCAACGCCAATTTGTCATCCCTTTTTCTTTTGAAACATGTTGTGTTTTGAATTTGGGGTATTGCAAGAGCCCCATTACTGGGGTTTATTGACATCCAACAGGGGATGCAGCCTATAACATCTGGTCTAAAAGGATCCAACATGGGTGATAAACCCGGATTGGAGTGTAGGAGTCTAGTGGATTCACTAGTGGATATTAGATGATATTAGTGGATATTAGTAGTTGTTAATAAATGTTAATAAGCCAGTCTAAAATATTCCGAAAAGATTTTTTGGAAGGAAATCCATGGGTTTAACCGATTGGATCATTTGGTTCGATGGAAATCCGTAGCCGTTCCCCAATGTTTAGAGGTTTTTTTTGGACGAATGTTTCCACCAGGGCCATGAGGCTGAACCTTTACTAAGCCCTGGTAAATCTTATCCTCATTTTTCCGAGTTGAAAAAAAGTTTGAATCCTCATTTTTTGAAGGTACCCTCTGGTTATTTAACATAGCCATGGTATAGATGGCCCATTTATAGATGGCTCACCTATTAAAAATGGTGGATCTTTCCATGGCTATGTTAGTCATAACCAGATGGTAAACATTGATAAACATCGATAAACATCAGGTACCATCTGGTTATGACTAACAGTTTGCCATGGAAAGATCCACCATTTTATAGCTAGGTAAACCATCTATGGCTCTATGGGCCATCAACAAACCATTGGCAAACTGTTAGTCATAACCATCAGGTAACCCCACCATTTCTGATTCTACCCAGCTACCAGAAAGGTCACCAGGTCACCTGGTTGATGTTGGGTCAGTCATCCCCCTGGCCCAGGCGGAGCGTGCTCGGCTGCAACACGATGAAGCTCAGGCAGATCGCGGATGGGGGATGGGGTCAAGGGTGGTGGTTTTCATGGGTTTCAATGAATTGGGTGCACCGGTTAACCATCATTTTTTGAAAGAAACAACTTGGGATGTTAAATTAGTCACATCCCATCGCCGGCTGCTACTCTTTTTCTCACAGCATCCTATCCTCGTAGGAATAGGCGCCCCACCCCTAATTAAGAATCCACTAAAATCACTAAAGTTAAAACTCCTAAAAACCAAAGTGGAGGCAACACAAGAATGCGGACGCACTTCACATACTTAGAACTTCAACCATTAAAATTTAAAGTGCCATAAGAATGCAAATAAGATGCACAAAAATTCATGTGTCCAATCCCTATTTGCTTCGGGTTCTCATGGCACCATCCTTCTTGAAATTTCGACTTCATGAAATTCTTGCACCCATTTGCCCGAGGATATGTAGACCATGATGTACAGCAGCCAAGGAAATCATGCCCAAAAGGGGGCGAGCTTTTTTTAGATTAGGAGCCCAGGTCATTTTCAAACATATGGATCAAATAGTACATCCCCTATCAATTCGTGAAATATCCCTAAGCAACTAGAAAATCTTCTACAAGTAGTGACCAACCTTAGCACGTGGTAAATGGGTACTTGTAAATTGCAAGCACCATAAGAATCAACAGCAGTAGAAATGCTTCTATATTTATGGCATTTTATGGCCATATGCCCAGGCAAAAACAGGTTACATTCCGGAAATCAGATCGCCAGATATTTCCCCCCGACGATGAAGAATGTTGGTGTTGTGCTAGGATGATCCTTCAACATAGATAGAACATGTTCAGTTTACACTTCCAAATGAGGTGAATGTCATCTATGACGTCCTGGAATTTCATAAGGCCTCTGAAAACCATCCCTTATTTTCATCAAGTTTCGGGGATTATGCTTCCAGAGAAATCTAAAGATATTAAAAGCAAGGTCAAAGTTAAAGCAAAACGTAAATCAAGCCCACCACAATCTACCATAAACGTAAACTGGGCATTCCGATAGAGTCCGATAGAGGCACCATCTTTATATCCCGGATTTTGAATAACCATCATCGTTCCATTTTAAAGTGTAAAGGTTACCACATGTTACCCAGCCATAAAGGTAACACCCCCTATTTTGGTTGGGGTTGATAGTGGATATAGTGGTTCCCCTGGGTTATCCTATTGGTGGCGTACAACTGGGGAAACAAAAACCAGTTGTGAGTTGCAGGTGATCCTCCATGTGATGTTTTCCATACTCGCCAGGATTTGTGATCATATTCTTGCATCTAAAAGAATGAACACATCGACACTTGAATGGATTGGTTTCAGGAGAAAATCTGCAGGAAACCAGGTCTTTTCAATGAAATATGGGTTATATAAGTTATATATATCCGTATCACATCCCCATTTTCCCTGTGAAGCCACTATTTCCCCCCTAAAAAGACACCAATTTTCCAGATGGATCCTGGCAAGTAGCTATCAATCACCCCTGGCCCTCAGCCCCTTAAATCCCAGTAAATCACCATCTCATCATTTTCAACTATATATATATACATATACATATTATTCCCATGATATGTGTCCATGCTTTTTAACCATGATCAATGATCACCATTCCATGCATTTCACCATCATTGTCATTATCATTATTGATTGGTACCAGATCATAGATGGAAATGTTATATTGTCCATTCCCTGAAATAGATTATTGTTCATATTCCCATGGTACCATTTCCATTATCATTTCCATGGCTGGTCCCAGATTTACCCTCTGCTAAACACACATAGCTATTGAACATGGCCATAGAAATAGTTGATTTACCCACTAAAAATGGTGATTTTCTACAGCAAACTGTTAGTTTACCAGAGGGTAAATCTCATTCATATCCCATTGAATCACTATAAAATTCCATGAAAAATCATTGTAAATCCCATGGTTTTCATTGATTTTCCATCGTTTTCCATGACTGGTACCAGATTTTTATGGTACCCCTCGGTAGCCCTCCACGCCTAGGTGGGCCACTTGGCCCTGGCCCTTACAGCACCGCAGTTTCGGGGCACCTGGGGACCGCTGGAGGAGGAACTCGGTGCGCCAGCGCTGGGGGGAATCACATGGAACATCCATGGGGAAAATCAGTTTTTTTTTGCTTCGTTGCACCGAGAAAGCTTGGCCGTGGTCCAAAACAAGACGCAGCCCGCTACCCGACATGGTAAACATACAAAAAACAGATGGGAAAATCACCATTTTTCATGGGTAAATCCACTATTTCGACTGCGCCATTTTCAATAGCTATGTTAGTTTACCAGAGGGTAACAGTAGTATTTTTTGGTGCGCAGGTCTGTTGAAGGTGAGTTAACCTGGTTCACAGATCGATTTTGACCCTAAAAAGCCTTTCAGTCTACAGCTTTCCTCATAGTTTTCCAATGTGTTCAATTTGTTTCACGGTTTCTTCAATTTTTCTGCATTTCTCATCATTTTTTAAAAACATATTCTGGCTTTTCTCTGTTGTTATCGGTTTTTCCTGACAACTCAGCATGTCGACGTTCCATATTTATGATCACCACAGGGTGGTACCCTTTAGTTCTAAGTTGGTTTACCCCATGACCTACAGATGTTATCGGAGTTATGAACTAGAGTTACCCTCTGGTTATGACTAACAGTTTGCCATGGTTTGTTGATGGCCCATAGAAATAGACGGTTTACCGAACTTAAACATGGTGGATCTTTCCATGGCAAACTGTTAGTCATAAACCAGATGGTATCAACTACCTTAGCAAACTAAATCCCATTCGACCCCATGAAATCGCCATGAAATGGCCATGCTATGGCCATAAGTTTGCTGGTAAAACAGCTAACTTGGCATGTTTCTTTTGGTGTTTTCACCCGTTTCACCCCAGGTGACTTTCCACCGTTGGCGCCCGTGCGCCAGGTGTCAAGCCGCAGCAGCTGCGGCCCGCCGCGCTGGCGTCGCTGGGGGGCTTCTTCGCGCAGGCCGAAGCACAGGCGGAGGCACAGCGACCGAAACAATGGGGGCACCCCAAGGAATGGGATTGGATGGCTATTGGGCTAACCAATACAGGATGATAGTGATGAGAATGATTATAATCTATTATAATTGTGACAATTAGGACATCAGGATGCTAATTAGGATGGTAATTAGGATAATGATGATACTGATGGTAATGGTGATACCGATTATAATTAGGATGGTAATGATGATAATTAGGATGATCATGGGGTGATGGCTTCTGGATGATAAAAGAATAAACGCCTTTGACCTTTCAATGGGGCTGCATTTGCCAATGGAAAATCCCAAGAACAATTGGATGACTGTTTTTTTTTCCCTTAGGGAAATGACCAGAGATTGGCTGGACCCATGAATGGGTACAGTATCCAATCTTGACCCATACCCACATGGTTGAGAAAACATAGTTTTTTTTTTCTCCCCTTGGGAGGGAAAGAAACATGGGAAAAATGGGGTGTTTGTTTTTTTTTTTTGGGTGGAACTTTTTGAGAGCAAGACATTTTCTATTTGAGTTTTTTCGATCGCTTTTCTTGATGTTGCGAAGGCTACATAATTCACTGTATGTATATGTATATATATATATATCAATGGGAATTCCAGGATCCTAAAATGGAGGTACTGTACCATATAAGGCCATATTTTGTGGGGATATTCCCTTACATAGGCCTAAAAAATAGGCCTTATATATGGTAGGTACCTCCAATAAATCGGTTCCTGAGTCATGGCCATTGACTATTATAGGGGTGCATATCTAGCCTATAGCTACCTTAGTTCACTGGCTTAGGGCTAAGCGGCAGCCAGCCATGAACTTGTTCAATCGTCCCCGCGATCGGCCCGAGTGGCCTGTGGATGTTGGAAGAGATTGGATGAGAAAATCAGCCTGTAAGGTTGGTTTGAGAATGTGGTATACCGCCAAATTGATGATACACCTGATACACCATAAAACAAATCTAGGGCATTCATTTTTAGACAAACCGATGTAGGGGATGGAATTGGGTGATGTGAGGCATGTGAGTGGTAGTATGGTGCCTGATGTGACAGAGTTGCAGCCTAGAGTCTAGAGCAAGTCAACATAAGTTAGTTTATCAGTAGATATCAGTAGATTATATGATAAACTAAGGGTTTATGGTGGTTTGGAACATTTTTTATTTTTCCATATATTGGGAATAATCATCCCAACTGACCAATATTTTTCCGAGGGGTTGAAACCACCAATCAGAAGGGTTTATGGTAGGATATCTCTCTAAACATAGTTTGAGTTTTGTCCACCTTACAGCTGAACATTGCAACACACAAACAGTTTCGTTTTTCGGGCAAGTCTGGCGGCTTACCCCAGGCGTGGCTGATCGGTCTTTGCAGCGATTCTTGGCCGCCGGACGGCGACGGCATCCACCAGATTACCCTCTGGTAAACTAAGCGTTTGGTATGGAATCCTGGCCCATTTAGTTCGTTGATTTACCGATTAGAAATGGCAATTTTCCATAGTCATGTTAGTTTACCAGAGGGTAGTTTTGAGTCATTTGGACTCTTTGTGTCCAAAAAAGGGCGGCATGTAGACGCTCGCCAGATTTTCTTGAGGATCATTTCCGCAGGATTTTTAAACCTCCGCTCTTTTATCAATGGGAGATCTTCAGGATCCTAAAATGGAGGTACTGTACCATATGTTTGGCCATATTTTGTGGGGATATCCCCTGAAATTTAGGCCTAAAAAATAGGCCTTATATGGTACAGTACCTCCATTTTGGGATCCTGGAATTCCCATTGATTTTATGGGTTATTCTGAACTGTCAGTAGCTATGTTTAGAGATTGCCACCCGCCTCAAACAGGTAGTAGGATCACCAGGAGCCTTACAGCTTTGGTTGAATCTGAACCCTCAAAACAGGACTTGTTCATGAAACTGTTCTTCCACACAGCGACCAACACAACCACAAATGCTCAGGAACACACATGATGTGCGTGTTGGTTTACCCTACCACCTTATCCTAAGTTGAGTATATGCTACCCGGCATTTCTTAGTGCTCAAATTGTCATGAACATCTGCAACAAACTGGTTCTTCGGATGATCTTTCCATATCTTTCCCAGAATCACCCGAACATTTACCTCAAACGTTTGACAGCATCAGGCATCAGGGGGGAAAACATAGTTGTCCACACATCCACTGCAAACTATGAGCCATGGGAAAACTATCTGGTTGGTGGTTTGGAACATGAAATTTATTTTTCCATATATTGGGAATGTCATCATCCCAACTGACGAAGTCCATCATTTTTCAGATGGGTTAGCAACAACCACCAACCAGATATGATTAAAATTCCCATAATGGTTAACCACAACCACCATTATTAACCATTATTAACCATCATAGCCATGGGATAAAAAGCAAGAATTTACCACTTCACTGGTTCTCACCTCTCGAAAGCTCATGGGTTTTCCAGTGAATCAATGGCCGAGGATCTGCATGAGCCCCGTGGGGCAGGAGCTTCGAAGCCGCTGAAGGCTCCAAAATGAAAAGACCATCTTCAATGGATTGGTTTTGTTGGGAAAATCTAGAGGAAACCCATGGGTTTTTACCATCAAATATAGATAAATCACCATAGTTACCCTCTGGTAATGACTAACAGTTTGCGACATTGAAAATGGCCATTGAAATCGTGAGTTTTCCCATGAAAAATGGGTGGATTTTCCGTAGTTATGTGGCTGTTTACCAGAGGGTACTGGAAAGATCTGGAAAGCATGGCTTTTCTTATGATATATAATGATTTTTTATGGGGTTGACATGGTAATCCCAAAAACGCCATTGACATATCCAATAGGACACTCAGAATGGTACACAAGTACAAAATACATGAACATCTGAGGTCAGAATAGGTTGAGATGATTTTTTGAACACTTCTTTCCCCAGTCTCAACCATTCGTATCCACTTCTTAGGGATTCTTCGGGAAGTGCCCATCAACAAAAACAAACATTTGGTAATTTAACATAGCTATTGAACATGGCACATTTATAGTGGATTTTCCCATTAAACATGGTGATTTTCCATAGTTATGTTAGTTTACCAGAGGGGAAATCCCATTAATATCCCATTGAACCACTATAAAATTCCATTAAATCATTGTAAATCCCATGGTTTTCATTGATTTTCCATCGTTTACCATGTCGGGTGGGGTCACATTTTTTTGGGGCGTCTCAGGGCCTGGCCTCGGCCTATGCCAAGCTGACGGATGGCCTGGTGGAACGATCTGTTGAGGCGGAACGGTGGATTTTTTTGGAGAAATCCCATGGAACAACCATAGGAAATCTCAAGGAAGTGGATGTATGACCTACAAAATTTGGATCCAAAAAGTGGATCGTAGCGAATTTTTTTTGAATCTTACTTGTGGAAAAAACATCTGTTGTATATCCATGATATTGCCAGATACTCTTGGAGATGCAAACCAGTAGCTACACACACACACACACACATTTTCTGATGGATGATTGAGTTCAACTTCATCATAATGTAGTTATATATATATATATGGTCATTGATATTGGGGAAGCCATTGAATGCAGCTCGAATCTGGCTGAAACCTCTTGTGAAATTATCTGGTTGGTGGTTTGGAACATTTTTATTTTTCCATATATTGGGAATGTCATCATCCCAACTGACTTTCATATTTTTCAGAGGGGCAGGCCAACCACCAACCAGTTATCCAATTTGATTGAGCCTGATGACCATTGTGATGTTCATGGCACTTGGGGATGCATCACAGCGAGTGAATAGTCTTTTTTTTTTTGCGTCCATATCTTATTTTTGGTACATGCAAAGCTGGCATTTGGTAATGGACAATTCACCATTGATGTCATTGATGATTCTCCCATGAAAACCTTAATTTATAGGGCATTTCCTAGCCACGGGTGATACCCCAGAGGGTATTTCATATGGTTCGGGTATCCATTCAGATGGAGACATCCACCGCGCCCTGATTTCGGAGGCCAAATTGCTACTTCTGGCTGCTCTTGCAGGTGGGCTTTGGGTAGACACTGCAAGTTTCAATGGTGAAGCAATCCCTTGCCCCGAACAACAGTAATGATAGTAACGATAACGATAACGATTGCAATAACAGTGATCATCATGATCATCATTAATCATTTTATGATGCACATAGTCACATAGTCAACCAGAACAAACATGTGATTTTTTCATTTTCCTCAAAATCAAAATCGTGATAGTGATAATGATTAACCAAAATCATACAGTGATAGTGATAGTGATAGTGATAGTGACAATCAAAATCACATACTCAATATAAAACAAAACAAGCCTCAGAACCCCCTCGAATGGTGAGCTTCATCATGGTTGACCGGATCGATCCACAGGTATTGATGCCCTAAGCCAATTTGGTGCGTCACAACGGGGGGGCCTTCCAAATTACCCTCTGGTTATGTCAAAATAGCTATTGAAAATGGCCATTTATGGTGGATTTTCCATTAAAAATGGTGGATCTTTCCATAGCTATGTTAGTTTAGCAGAGGGTATGCCATTTTGATAAGTGAAATGATGAGACACCACTGGACTACTTAGTGACTACTTTGGGTTTTTTCCCGTGTTTTCCTGTAAATTTTCAGACAAAGCCGGTTGGAATGTATTGGCACATCCAGATATCTGTTTGAAAGATGTTGAACTCATGCGGCTAAGTCTTGGATAATGGTCTCAGTTACCATGAATGAGAAAGCACCGCAGTTGATCAGTTGAATTTATGTAACCATTTCTAGAACTCAGCTTTGGCAGAACCTGGTCAGCTTGATTATTTCATGATATTTCATTACTACCATTTGAATTTGGATTACCCTCCAGTAAATTAATATAGACCCTGCCAGATAGGGGTTGGAAGATTCGTTTCCATTTAAAATTGGTGATTCTCAGGTTCTATGTTAATTTACCAGATGGCAACACTACCAATTTTCAGGTACTATCCATTTATTTCACCCGACCAGTGGCCTCTGTTGGCTGATGATTTCAGATGGTTGTACTTTCCAATGCGGGGATTATCATAGTCCATTCTGGCAAACATGTTCTTAACCAACCAGTGCGATGGAATAAGATTTCCGTTTTCAACACTGCTCAGCTACTTATATAAATATGAAGCATACCGATTACACACACACATATATATATATATGTATTTGGATTTATGTATTTGGATTTACAATGCAGATGTCCAGTTACTCTTCATTTGAGACACCTGAAGATATACATGATCAGAATTCTCCGCAGATTTAATTAGAGTATTGAAATCATTTACCTAAATGTTCTGACTACCAATGATCACTATCTATGCATTTCCGGATCTCCGGATCCATTGTATCACCATCACCATCAAGCATTTTCCTCGTTACATAAATCTCCATTTTCATGGCTCAAGCCTTGGGATTTTCCATGAAATGATCAGTTCTTCTCCATTGATTTCCAGATTTCCCTGCCGGGATCTCCACTGTTTTGGCGCCGTTGTTCGCGGTACCCGATCAGGTGAACATCTCTTCCTACTGGGATCTCCTGGCACTGCCAAGAGCCTGTTGGCCCGGCGGCTCTCGAAGGCATCCGACCGGCATCCGGTGGGTTGGTGGGGATCAACATCCAGCTGCCCAGCGACTGTCGGTCTGTTAGAAGGTGTGTTATGACACAGAAAACTCTTCAAGTATCATATGTGGAGAGATATAGATATATATTGTATAATAATAGGAATTGTAGTTTCGAAAAAACACAAATTTATATTGTATAATAATAATAGTATACTTGTAATAATAATAACAATAATAGTACGTGTGTATATATATATATACACGTATAATGGGATCCCTGGATCGTTGAAGATCTTTGATCTAGACAGAACACTTTGAGGCAAACTGTGCTGGAGAGAGACTTGGTTTCATTTTCGGCGCAAGGAAAGCAGAAGAGAGTGCATCATGAGTGATTCGATGGTGTCATGTGAGTGGGCAACAGGACCGCCAAATACAGGGGGCACCATGAATCCTGTTGATCCTGATGGTCATGTCATAGCAGATATGCTAAGTCAGGCTGACTTCGCCCATTCTCAGCCTAGCATCCCTACTTTTCCAGTTCAAAATAACCTCAATCCCAGAATTGGTGTCGGTAGAACAGGCTGAGTTTCCTTAAACAACATGATTCACTTCAACTCCTAGAAAGGGCCTGGGGGAAAATGAAAACCGGAACCCCCTACAGTATATTTGATGCTAAACATATGGTTTCCTGTGGATTTTCCCAACAAAACCAATCCATATAATCCATTCATCAAAAGGGTAGAAAAGTCAATTCCAAAAAATCCGACGAACATAGTGATAAATCAAACCTATTCAGTACTTTCAGTTGTTTTTTTGAAGGTTACTAATTATAATCAATGGTAACTTCAGGATCCTAAAATGGACCTTATATACGGTAGGTACCTCCAATAAATCGGTTCCTGAAATGACCATTGATATAAACATGTTCAACACTTCCAGCCCCAACAAGTCATCCATCCCTTCACCCACCGTAGCACCGCGCCGGTGGCGGGCCGCCATGGGCGCGGCTGTGGCCCAGCTGGCCTTCCCGGTCCCGCCGAAGGGGCGCTTTGCGGAGGCCTTGCGGAAGAGATCAGTGCCTTGGGAGCCGTTTTGGTACAGTTTTTTATGGCTTTTTAGGAGCCCCCCGCAAAAAAATAAACCAGCCATAAATAGTGGGATTAGAACACTTATAAAACCTTATAGTTTTTTTGGTACAGGTATGAGTTTTATAAGTTATAATCCCACTATTTGTGGGGAATATGATATGGGTATAGAGTCATTTAGTGATTAATACTGGTCAATACGTACTGGTTGATAATGGTTTATCGCCCCTAACAGCTATAGTTTTACTAAAGCAGTTATAAACCACCCATGTGGATTGACGGCTGGAATCCCACGAATGAAAATGGAACAATTGGAGATTCTTCACTATGGCTTTACCAACATTCACTGGCTAATGATAAACATAGCCAACTTGCAGGAAATATATTTAGTCCCATTTATAGCTGTTAAGCGCCATAACTGTACGTTCTTTTTCGGAAATTATCCTTTGATAATTTCTCATGAGCAGTGTGCAAATGGTGGTTGATGATTAGTTCGGGGGTTATACTATACCAAATGCATTGGCGGGGAATATCATGATCTGTTCTTGGAATCCCTATTGACCAACCAGCATTGGAATGACAGAGGATTTTGAACACTGCTCACATGGCAAAATGGGATTGTAATCTATAAATTGGAGATTTTGTGGGGATATTCTATGGTGAATTCTACTTTTAGAATGCTAACCCATGACTCATGATTTTGCTATCCGCCCCACTTTATTTATAGGAAGGGATACCGATTTTGACAATAATGTATCACGGCTATGTCGGGGGTACTCCCCCAATTAGTAGCCGGGCTTTATTAATCCAGGGCTGACATGAATTCTTGAAGAAAACATACGGACATTTACTGAAAAACGTGTGGTGTCTCCTCAGAACATGGTTTTCTTCCTTCAAAAGATGGAGAACATGGAGGGTTTATCTCAAATTCCCAAGGACGGGTGGGTTGAAACGGACACATAGTATGTAGTAGTGTATGGTTTGTCATGTCGCCATTAAAAGGCTGGGCCTCCTATCAGTCGTATAAATGAGGCCCGTCCCACACAAATCCTAGGCCAAATGCAAGGAGCACTAGTTATATATACAGAAGGATGCATATCTATATTTGTATCTGTATCGATCTATACATGTAATCTATCTATGTATTGATTATATCTATATGTGTATATATCACATTATATCACATTATATCACATATACAGATAGATCCCTATCAACCTGGTAGCTAGCCGTGCCTCAGGACCTCTTGTACCTTGACACCGAAAGCGACGAGCAGATCGCTGCCGTCCACATCCGCCGCGGCATTCGTGGCACGGATCGAGTGATTTTGTACTCCCATGGCAATGCAGAGGATTTGGGGCAGCGGTTGCACCTTGACATCATGGAGATTGGGGGAAAAATCGCGGGGTTGGCTTGTAAGATCTTAGTACCTAAACTAACATAACTATGGAAAAGCACCATGTTTCATGGGAAAATTCACTATAAGATCTTACCCTCTGGTTATGTCAAAATAGCTATTGAAAATGACCATAGAAATAGTGGATTTTCCCATAAACAATGGTGATTTTCCATAGTCATGTTAGTTTACCAGAGGGTAGTAAGATCTTGGAATCCCACAAAAATGGTCAACTCTACTTACGACTTGTTTCTTTTCCAAGTTTCAGGTACCTCTGGTTATGACTAACATAGCCATGGTAGTTCGATGGCCCTTATAAATGGATGATTTTCCCACTCCAACCTCCATTTATTTACGGGATTTTCCATGGCAAACTGTTAGTCATAACCAGATGGTAGCATTGCATCAGGAACTTGCCGGCGGCGCCCCGGTTGCTAAGTTGCTATGTCATAAACCTAACTATGGGGTTAGCTATTGTTTGGTGGTGGAAACTATAGTTTTCGATGGGTTTTTTCTATGTTGATTGAACTAAGTTGGTTTAACAAAGTTGGTTTATGGTGATTGCAACTATCCTCAGATGGGATTACAAACCAACAAATATCACTGGGCACCACCCCTGCGACGTTCCTCCCAACAAAACTATTTTGTATCTATTTGTTGGTGGCATTTCTTTCTTGCATTATACCTCAATTCATGACTCAACCATCATGTGGTTTTACATTTTATACTTCCCATTTCGACTATTCAATTACTATTATCATTACATAGGTTAGGTCGTTTTTCCCCCTCTCCGGTTAACCATACACACATATATTTTTGCTGCTTCAATCGCCATTTTTGTTGGGTAAACCTCCATCAAACCTTGTTTTTTTTGGTTGAATCCCCACGAGTTTTGACAAGCCATGATCGTTTTTTCGCCATAATTTTCAGGTTGATCATGAACATAATATCACTGGATTGGCGCTACAGGAACTATTTGGATCTCATGTCGCAGCTCTGCGGCTCCGACATCTTGGCCTACGACTACTGCGGCTACGGCTTCAGCACCGGACGCCCCAGCGAGGAGAACTGCTACGAGTCCATTGAGGCGCGCGGTGGGCCCGGTGGGGGTAAGGATGGTGGGATCATTGAACTAGACATTTGGCCAGTGACATGGGGTTATACACAGATATATATATAATTATATATATATATATCTATATAACTATATATATATATGTGTGTATATATATATGTATATATATAATAGTTAAATAGGATAGGGTTTAAATATCCAGGATGTTACTTTAACGGCAAGGTCTTAAAGTGGTTTTTGGACAGTTCCGTTCACATTTTTGGGTAGCCCTTCCATGCCCCGACCAATGCGCACACGCCACTTGGAGGCAACATTGCCTAGCGTAAGTAGGGTGGCAAGGCCAAAGGGTGTGCAATTGGGACTGACCCTCTCCACCAATTGCAGGCGGCCTACGAGTATTTGCTGCAGCACTTTCCTCCCAACCGAATCATTCTCTTTGGGCGGTCGATTGGCACCGGCCCCACAGTGGAGTTAGGCACATGGTGTGGGCAGCGAGGGAGGATGGGCATGCGTGGTGGAGTTGAGGAAATGGCCAGCCCGATCCCAAAACATCTCAGAAATCCCGAATTGCAGGTTTTTGGTATTGGGTAGCACATTCATTGGGTCATTACCCCAGTTGCCAATCAGTTTTGATCCACTTCATCATTTTAGACATTTTCACACCCATTTCTTTTGGACACAAGTTCAGTGGAGTGTTGAGTTATGCACAGGACCCCCAAGCAGATTCGCAAAAGTTGCTTCCAGAATGTCAATAAATAGGCAATCTTGACCCTTCTAAAATCTCGCCAGCAATTCATAGCAATTCCACACGTTCAACCTTTTTTGAGCCATTTTAAGTTGATCCTTCAGATCTTTCACAATTTCTCATCCCTATCCCATATGGAGGTTTCCTGAAATTGGGTACCCCTGAATCATCAATTTTAGTAGGACGTTCCGCTATAAACTTTACAAACGAAGCATTTTTTGAGGATCCCACATTTATAGAAAGCCCCACCCCACCCCCACCCCTATCCCAGGCGTGCGACACCCCGAGATCCGTGGTATGGTGCTACAGAGCCCCATGGAGAGCTGCGGTCGGGTGGTCTTTGGCTCTGCTGCCAGCTGGCTGGGCTACAGGCGGCGGGGATCTCATCCCACGGGTGTGGGTGGTAACTGGGAAAACCCGACATGGTAAACATACAAGAAGCTTATGGAACATCACCATCTTTAATAGGTAAATCAACGAACTAAACGGGCAATTTTTCCATATTAGTTAAAATCCTAGAGGGTATAGTTCACCCACAGTTCACCCACTTTTTTCTTGGAATCTTTTTGATATGGGTGAAGCTCAGGAATCGGGAAAACCACGTCCGATCCGTAGGATGATCCTCCAATGGATGGGACATAGGGGATCTGAAGAACGGAACGATATCTCTGTGAATCGTTAAACTATTTACCCTCTGGTAATTTAACATAGCTATGGAAAATCACCATTTTTCATGGGAAAATCCACTATAAATGGCCATTTTCAATAGCTATGTTAGTTTACCAGAGGGTACCATAAAGAATATAAAGAATGGAAGTTTACTGAATCGTTAAAGATCGGGGGATCTTTTACTTCCATCTTTTACTTCCAATTACTTCCAATTATTTCTTGTACTGGATGCATATTTTACCCCTCAATTGCAAGTTAAAATTCATTGGAAGTCAAAGATCTAAATCCTAGAGGGGTTAAATACAGTATGCATCCAGTCGATGGATGAGAACTGGATGGAAAGAATGGGGCAAATTTCAGCCACCAAACTGTAGACACTGTAGAACATGGTGAACTATTGGGATTTAAGCAACAAAACATGTTGAATTATAGTTGAGATACTTGATTATGATGGTTCAGTTGGGTGAAATTCAAAGTTCTTGGGTAACTATTGGGTTTACATGATTTGGTACCACGCAGGGGGATATCAGGTGATATACACACACACACATATATATATATATAGACAACAGTCATGTGGTAATACCCAATAAGAAATACCAAAAAAATGGAGATTCTGGGGAGGAATCAACTTGGAGGATCAGCAACTGGTGCATGGGGTACCAAGCCATGTTTTTTTTTGAGGCCTTCCCAAAAAAAGATAGGAAAGCGCAGACAGGATGTGAAGATGATGATGTTTAGCCCCCATTTTCCCGGTTTTCAACTTTTTCAACAACCATTTGGGAGTTGCTGTCAATGGAATACCCCCTTAGCCGAGGGACTTGTAAACCATAGCACCTATGGCACCTTTCAGGCACCTTTCATCCATGGTAAGATGACACTTCCCAGCGATGGCAGGATGGACCTCTTTCGGAACTACGAAAAGATGGAGCAGATCCAGTGCCCGGTGCTGGTGATGCATGGCACGGAAGACGATATCGTGCCTTGTCGGCACGGCAGCGGCGACCTCCAATGGTGGTTTCAGGGAAGCCGACGTTGGACGATTTAGATGTGTGGACATCTTTTGGCTGGGTGATTTGTATGGTGTTTTTTGGCCATTTCCTGTTTCACCCCCAGATATCTGCGGCATAGTTTCCTGGTTCGTGCGGATTGACTCAGGTATCTGCCGATACAATTTAGAGTGTCAAGCTTGGATTCTTCTTCACCCCTGGGCTGTTGATTCCATCAATCTAACCGAATCCAACCGGGCTGTTTTTTTCATTGTTACCCACTTGTGATGCCTGGGTACCCACAACCTTTCATAGGTGACATACTTACCCTCTAGTGACTCTAGTAAACTAACAGTTCGCTATTGAACATGGCCCAGTCGAAATAGTGGATTTACCATTGGGACCATGATGTACCCATCAAAAATGGTGATTTTCACATCACTTTTTTTTGTTAACGTTTACCATGTCGGGTAGCTACCCAGTTTCCACCCCCCAGGTGCCCGTTGAGAACGGCTACGCCATCCACGAGGCCTGTCAGAAGACGGTGGATCCTCTGTGGTTGGAGGGCTATGGTCACAACGATTTGCCCAACGATGCTCGGAGGAAAGGGTCATGGATTGGTTTAAGGATGGGAACATCTTAGAAACCCATGGTTTTTACCATCAAATTGATAGATCGGGGTTTTCGGTGTAATTTTTTCCCCATCATCCAGTTCTATGAGTCATGGATCATGGGGTTGTCATCAGACTCATCATCTTTCTGGGTAGAATGAGCTAGAAAAAAACAAACCTGAAAAGTTTATGGCGATTTTTTGGGGTTCTCCCCCCAAAAAAACATTCAGCATCATTCCAGGGTTGAACAGTGAGGTCATTGCAATACAAATATGTGGAGATTTTAAGAGAGAAATTGTTGATGTATATTTGGATATAATGGGATAGAACCAACAAGAATGGGGATACCCTATGATAATGACTAACAGTTTGCTATCACAAATTGCACTTTTTAGATAGGTAAATCATCGAACTAAATGAGCCGTGGCTTCCATAGCTATGTTTGTTTACTGGAGGGTATTTGTAGGGTTGTCATGTCAGGGATTTTGGAGTCAACAAATTGTTGAAATGGGGATGGACAGATGGACCAGGTAGCCACCGAATATTTAAGCGGGGGATGCACTTCCAGCAATGCCACCTATAACTTGGGGTTCACCACATAATCCGGGGTTTTGACTCAGCACATATTCTGGATAGTTTCTTTTGTTCGATTGGTCCTCCACTTTTTTTGGGGTTCCTAATGAATTTTGCCTTTGATCCATGCCAATCTTCCCGTTGTTATCCATGGCACAATCGATCCCAGCACCTTGTAGGCTTACACTGCCGAAAATTTGAAAAAGGCAATGTCCAGTAGTCAAGTCATCGGAAAAAACCTATCTGACCTATCAATGGCCCATTCAGGTACCTAAAATTGAGGTACTGTACCATATAAGGCCATATTTTGTGGGGATATTCCCTTAACTTTAATATATGGTAGGTACCTCCAATAAATCGGAACCTGAAATGGCCATTGATTCAAGATTCATGTGAATATGTGTGGGTGTACGGGTGTACCCTCCGGTCTCGTCCAACATGGCTGGAAAATCCCGACTCTAGAATGGTTTTGTTTGATAGGAACATCATCCAATTTATGGGGTACTGTATGTTTCCATGATTTTCCATTGCCATAGGATTTTCCATTATTTTCCATGGGGTATTGTTTCCATTGCCATAGGATTATCCTCCACAGATGTGAAAACTCACCGCAGCATTTGAGATTTTTTTCTTTTCACGGGGAAAAGTGGTGCCTCGATGAGGAGATGTGCTTGCGACGCGTGCGCGAGTTCATGGATCAAATGGATGGCCTGTCCTGGGGTTGGGACATCTTCGTGACCAATCTGGCCACGCACATCTCGGTGAATCTCTGACCGGGAAGAGAAAAATGCTCCGCCAAGGCGATTTCGGGGTGGTTTCAAGATGTTTGATGTGCAATTGATATAGTTTCCAGTTTGACGTATTTGTAGCTATATGCTATATATATAATATACATAATACATCTATAAATTATTCATTTGGAAACATGAAGGAGCCGCCTGACTTTCTGTTTTGTGCCTTGAAACCACTAAGCGGAAATGCAGATGCCGAGCGAAATCCTTCCGGATGACCTCCCTCTGCTTCCGAAAGACCGTTCTTCGAGGTTTCAACGGCACAGAGTGCCCCACTTAAGCTGTGACATGTGAAAAACAAGGGTGCCAAAAATATCCAAGAATGATGGTCCATTGTTTTTAAATCCATTTAGCCAGACTCTCGTAGTTTTTTGAGGACTTTCAGTTGGTTTCACTGTGGTTTGAATCATCTACCAAATAAGTGATGGTGCGTAGAGTGAGCCGGGGGGGGGGTCTGTGAAGTTTTTGGAATTTAGCCAGTTCAGCAGTGGGACGAGTCTTGGAAGCATAGGGATCCATTCGGAGACAAATCTCCTTGCAGGGCGGCCATCACAACTTGGGGCCCCCTTCGCGTCGCGCCAAACGAACCCAATGGCTGGTTGCCTTTGTGCCCTCTGCAAAGTTGGGGGGTTGCCGCCGCAGAAGTCGCTGTAAGAAAGGCGAAACGTGGAATGCTGGGCACTGGTACTATGAATTCCGGAGGCATGCAACTCAATGATCAAAACTGGAACGAGAAAGTCCATAAAAGTCCTAATTTGTATGGAAATGCCTGTTGTCCGAATCAAATGCCATCCAAGAAAAGGCATTCTATATGGTTTAATTATATATATATGTCTCATTGATTTTTGGATTGTTGACCCCACCAAATTTGATCAAATTTGCTTACCCTGCTGAATTCCTTTCCTGTAGTGATTGGCTTTTGGCGCATCGGAGGGCCCACAGTGAAGGACCCCTGCCAAACCCTGTTGACAGTTGCACTAGGTTATACTAAGTTCAGCTTCCTGAGGCTTATTGTCGTACTCAACTATGGCGAATCCCAACACACACACATATTTATATTTATATTTATATTTATATTTATATATATATGTATGTATACACATACATACACTATTATATATATACACATCTAAGTATATTTATATATTTATACATGCATAGGGTTACCCGACCGTAATGCTCACAAACCCCACCAGCTCAACTAGTGAGACTCCTCTACACTGCGCGAGGTGTGCGAAGGCTCCTACTTCGAACGGTTACTCACCAGGCGGGGGGAAAGAACTGCGCAGCAATGCAAAGCTCAAGAAGCCTTTAAAAGAATCGCTATTCATAGAATTGGATGATGGGAAAATTTACAGGAAAGCTCTATATTAATCTATATTTGATGGTAAAAACCATGGTTTCCTGTAGATTTTCCCTTAAACCAATCCAATGAGCTATGGATCTTGGGGAAGCTCTTTGGAGCCATGATCAACCTGTGTCATCTGTGCTTTTTTTTGGAGAGCTAAAGAGCCCAATGAAGCATAGTTAACCACGCATGACATACACTCCATTATCCGCATTATCCGATATCCTGCTATTGTTATCCCCAGTATCATAGTTCTTCTTATTGTTGTTATCATCACTGGTTATGTCCAATTCTACCACCGTTCTTAGTTGTTGGTAAATATGCAAACTTTTGGTGGCTACCCTCTGGGAATTTAAATGGCAACTGGAAATCCCGTTGAATTTTAACTCTTCATGGGAAGCTTGTCTATAAAGGTGGTATTTTCCATTGCCAGGGTTTGACGACACTGGAGGGTAAAATAGGGAAACGTGCCTTGGTTTTTCTGTTCATCGCATCCCGCAGGTTCACAGTGCCCGAAGAGCTCTTCGGGCCCTTGTCCCTGCATGCGCTAGAAGAGGACCCCGGGATACCCCGGGTAGGCAATGGATTCGTTGATATAGGGACAATCCTACCCGGAAACCACGGTTTTTTGCCCAAAAAATCATGAAATATACGGGTTTCCGGTAGATTTTCCCACCAATTCTTAGAAAACCAACTATCACAAAGTGGTCCCACGGGTTGGGATGTCAGGAGCTGCGTTGGATGTGGGTCCCTATGCCAGATGCATCGGGAAATGCTGATCTTAATATCTCTTACAGCAATCAATAATGACAGCAGTCAGAAAAAGTCCCACTAAAATAGTGACAAATCACTTTTCCACATACCTTTGCAATACAAGGGGAGGTGCATTGGATCAGTGATCTATGCGAGACCATGTCAGGATGACCATCGTTGCATCAGCATCAGCTATTTCTTCCATTTATAGATTTTAGAGTCAATTTACCTACAAAAGATGGTGATTTTCCATAGCAAACCCTTAGTCATGGCCAGAGGCTATCACCATTTTGATGGCTTATATCCCGGTTATAGGCCAATTAATCACCAGATTTCCCAACCTCATCGACGTGCCAGGATGAGTTGCGACGCAAGACCCAGGGCTACCTGCCTGAGTGCGACGTGGCCTTCATCGATGAGATTTTTAAGGCTCTGCGGTGGAGAAGGATGAGAAGGGAGGGGAATGGATATGAGTTGACCCATGTTGGGCCAACTACACTCAACAAACACTGGCAGTTGAGAAGGACATATCAACTACAGTTGACCCATGATAATATGTCGTCAAAGTTGATATGAGTTGACCCATGTTGATGAAGGACATATCAACTTCACTCAACTACCATGACATCTTGGGCCATCTGGGTAAAGCTTTTCTGGTTTTTCTGGACGGTTGGACGGTTTGGCTTGTGAATGTAGTTGGTTTTTGATGGATGGGCCGAGTTGCCCATCTTCATATCGGCCATCCCTAGAGTTACCTCCATGACTTCCTCGCTGGTGTGTCTGTAGCTCCCAGTCGAGCTTTCCTCCAATGAAACAAATCCTTGTCATTATATGTCAATATTGGTATATCAATTATGGACATATCCATAATCACGTACACACACACATATATATATGATATGTATATATGAATTGATTTGAATTATGGAAATATAATCATCAACATGTATTAACATCTGTTAATCACTATTGACCATTACAATAGCCATATTATAAAATATCCAATGGTCTCTGTGTGTGGTCTCTGTTAAGCAAGGGTCCCTCCGTCGTTTTCGTGTCCACTGTGTTACGTTGTTGGCTTGGCTGCTGGGTGCTCGCGCACACAACTCTTGGTTTGCAGTTGAATGCTTGCAAGTCTTACGGCATTGTGTCAAGCTTTGGGCCCGGGTCTACAGTCAGATTTGGGACTCCCTTCTGGCTAGAAAGGTGTGGCGATGGATTGGGCACGTCCTTCGCATGCCCCCGGCGTCCTTGACGCGATCAGTGCTATTGGGAATGCAGCCTTCCGAACAACAGCGCCGCACCCGTACAGGACCGAATAATAGCGGACGGAATGTGATACGCTTTCTGGCCCACCACGATATCGCTTTGACAGCTGCACAGAGTCGTCACCAATGGCATACCTTGGAAGATACCTGGCTCCGCTTCAATGGCGTCTTGGTCCGCGAATCTGCTTGCAATGTGTTTGCCATCCCGTCTGACGACCACTTGTGGACCCGGAAGTGCCTCCAAGGCTCCTTCCATGGCCAGCAATTATTTGTATGCAAAGTGGATGGTTCACTCCAATGCTGCATGGAACTTCACAGAGTCATGGGCTGGCGGAAACGATCCTTCGTTGCCTTTTGTTTGCGAGACCTTCTTGCTGGCATCATGGGCGCGAACTGGCTTCATTCTGGCACCTTCCACGTTCGGGTTCTGTTGTTTCAAGACGCTCACCACGATCAGGTCACCAAGTTTTGAGTGAGACCCCTATGTCGTTTCAACCTTTTCACTTGTCCAATATTCTTACAGAAGTTTCTCCTGTGCCCCCTGCTTGGGCTGGTGAGATGAAGTCGCTGGCTGAAGTGCTGGTTGACTGACATATTCGTCCTGGGCATTGGGCCAATGGCTCGCCTTTAGCCCTTGGCTAAACTCTCGGAGATGGCGATGGAGAGAGAGAGAGACATCATAATAATCAATAACCATCAAGGACCATCATTCATCATGGATAAACCATCATAATGTGGGTAAAACAGTAATAAACCATCCCCCAAATCACATTTTTTTTAAAGGTGGTATGTCTGCCCTTCCCAGTCATGGGTGGTTTATGTCATTGTTTTACCCAACCATCATTATCCTTCCTATTATCATTTTAGATCATATCATTATCATTATTATTATTATTAATCATCATCATCATCATCATCATAAACCATCATAAACCATCATAAACCATCATAAACCATCATAAACCATCATAAGCCATCATAAACCATCATAAACCATCATAAACCATCATAAACCATCATTATCCACACTTCTGCAGCCGTTTCCCCACAGGCCAACTCTTCAATCCTCAACTCGCTGCTGGTGATCCTCAACGAGCGTCGCTTCGACAACGGCGACCAGCGCGTCTTGGTGCCGCTCTGGACGGCGGTGGCAGCCTCCAACGAGCTGCCGGAGCGCTTGGTGGGTCTGAGTTGATGGATTTAAAATAGGTTCGATGGATTATTTCTATGAACTTAAAGGGGGACTTCATGGGGTTATTAGTTATTACTCAGTGACTTCATGGTTATAAATGGTGATTGATGTTTTCTTATGGGAACCTAGCTGGGCTTGATAGGGATTTGATGGGATCAACGGATGGATTTATATGGACTTGATGGGACTTAGTGGATTTATAGTAGTTTATATGGGTTTAGTGAGACCTCATGAGGATTTAATGGTGATTTCATGGGGTTTAATGGGATTATGAATGGCTAATGGTTATGAATGGTTATTGGTGGTTATGTCTATGTATTTTCATTGGATCTACATGAACTTTAATGGTGATTTATTAGTTCCTTACCGTTGCTGTTAGGGGGTTTCAAACACTGTTAGGGAGTGCTACTAAAAACCGTTGGGGGGGGTTTCAAGTTTCACATATACTTCTGTTTTTCCAAAGCGATAGCGTCAGCCATGGGGGTTCTTGCTTCTTTATGTAGCGGAAATCGACGAACAATTTTTGCCGCTGCAGCCTTCTGGTCTCCTAGCCTTGTCTTCCTCATGATCGCTGCCTTCGCTGCCGCTGCCGCCTTGTCTCCCAGTCTTGTTTCCCTGCTCTCCCAGTCTTGTCTGCGAACTTGAAAGCTGACTAAACAATTCATTGCTATCTGGGGCTTATGCAGCCTATGCCGGTGTAATTTACCCTCTTGTAAACGAACATAACTATGGAAAATCACCATTTTGACTAGGTAAACCAACTATAAATGGACCATTTTCAATAGCAAACTGTTAGTCATTACCAGAGGGTAAATACAGGTTCAGCCATAGGTGGGATGAGCTGGGGAATCGCCTGACTGGGGGGATGGTTCTTGGAGGATCGTCTCACTTCGTAAGTGGTCATTAAGCCTGGTGTTTCTATCCTCAATTCGTGGGTGATCCTCCGTGTGGTTGAGGGTTTCAAATAGTTGGGATGATTGGTTGAGATGGCGAGCATATTTGTTGGGTTGGAACCACCATCCAGATTGGATATCCCCAAAATAAACCTTGGTTCTCTATTCATTTGCGGGGGGAATTCGTATATTGGAAGTCATTGCTTCTTGGTTTCGCGAACTCCGAGATAGCAATGAAGTGACAGATAAATGTGGCTGACTTTCACATTTTTCAGAGTGGTTGAAATCACCAAGCAGGCTAAGTTGACACACGTAATTTGGCTAACTATGGTCTTTGTGGAGGATATAACATGATATACCCTCTGGTAAACTAACATGACTCTGGAAAATCACCATTTTGAATAGGTAAATCAACAAACTACATGTGGTATTTTCAATAACAAACTGTTAGTTTACCAGAGGGTAACTACTATAATATTCATGGGGTGAATCTGAAGCAACAAACCTGGGGTCCATTGCTCAATTTTTTGGGGTTTACCACATCCCAATCCACTGCTAAAATTACCATTAAATCAGGGTTAAATCACCATTGAATCATGATGAAATCCCACGACGTCACCATCGTTTTCCCCCATGAAATCTCATGAAATCTCCATTTTTTGTTGGGATACCCTCTGGTAAACTAACATAACTATGGAAAATCACAATATTTTATCGGTAAATCAACTATAAATGGACCATTTTCAATAGCTATGTTAAATTACCAGAGGGTATCCCATCCGAAAAAATCACGGGTTGCTGTGTCCCGCTCGGTCGCTCGACAGGACACGGAAGAGCTGGATGCCTTGTACGATCGCTTCCTTCTGCGGCGCCACGTCTCCCGTATCTCGCGCAGGCTGTGCCGATATCATGGAGATCTGACATGGATCTACCTGTCGTAACTTACACGACCATCTGACATGATGATGATGATGATGATGATGATGATGATGATGATGTTGCAACCCATTTGCGGATATTTGTGGAGGTTTTGAGTGAACGCATATCTAGGATCATGACATGCGTGGAACCTGTGCCAGGTCGGTTCCCGACTTCTTGAAGATGACGTTGAGCAGAGAGGTACCAGCGAAGCAGCGCAGCTGGGTTAGATATGGGGCATTGCAGTGGCACATTTTTTTAGTCAGTGACCCTGCGGCAATCTAACGTGGCAAATTGAACATCTTCTGTAAATGAAGGTTTTTGGTAGACATATCATCTACAGATGGTGGATTTTCAATTGCCATGTTTGATGATCGGAGGTTCGATATTGTAGCAAGAGTTGCCTGTATCAACTGACCAGTCTGACCAATGCTTTTCTTCGGGTCTTCCACTGTGTCGTCGTCGGTTCCAGTTTCCGATTTTCACTTTGGCCTATTTGGAAAAATGACGCCACCTAACATTTTTTTCCAAGGGGACTGGGAAAATCAAGCGCAGACCATGTCTTTTTCTCATTCAAAACAAACATGGGCTGAGCAAACGAATCTTGACATTGCCATTGCCCATTGCCTCTCAGAAGTGAGTCCACATACTTTTCGTAAAGCAACCTTTTTTTTAACCCAGTATGGTTGGCGAATGTTGTTCTTAACCATAGATTTTCTGATGAAATATGAGAATTTCTGGCAAATTTTCCCTTAAACCCATGCATTGGTTATGTATCCCATGTGTCCCAAAGGCTGACAGCCACGCCCCGTTGACAGGAAGCGAAGGGCACGGCCGCTGGCGCAGGCGGCGCCGGCGGCGCTGGCGTTGCAGCGCGCGTGGGGCAAGTTGGCACGCTGCTGTCCATCGAGGCTGGATGCCTTGAGGGTGCTCAAGAGGTGTAGATTTGATGAGGATCTCACGCAGGTTTCATGGGTGATTTATGTCATGTGTCATAAAATGGTGATTTCAAGGGGATTTCCCATGAATTTCCCATGGATTTCCCAGTTATGGTTGGTTAATGAGACGGTTCATGCCTTTATGCCATTGGCTTTATTCGCATTACCCTCTGGTAAACAGCCACATAACTATCGAAAATCACCATTTTTAATGGGCAATTCCACTATTTCGACTGGGCCATTTTCAATAGCTTTTTGTATGTTTACCAGAGGGTAAATCCCCACAAAGTGGTGCCCCCAAAATAGCTAAGTTGGTTTATAACTCCAATAACTTTGGTTTTTGTTGGTGATAGATCTATAGTTAATGGGTTTATTAATGAGATGGTTTACGCCTTTATGCCATTGGCTTTATTCGTATTGAATCCCCATGACTGTTAGTTTACCAGAGGGTAAATCCCATGAAACATCCCCATACTAGTTGGATGTATCCACATGAAACATACCCAAACCATTGAGGGTAAATCCCCATGACTTTCCATGTTTTTCTTCCCAAAGTTGCTCCCATTTCATCCCAACCGAACTATGGCACTGCAGGACTCCTGGGACCTTCAGAGCCGCGCCACGGACGTGGACTTCCCGGAAGATCTGCTGGTGCCGAAGCCATGGCCGAGTTCGATGATTTACCAATTGAAAAATGGTGGTTTACCTATGAAAAATGGTGAACAATGGTGAACAATGGTGGTTTACCTACTAAAAATGGTGGTTTACGTATGAAAAATGGCTAAAAATGGTGATTTACCTATGAAAAACGATGATTTACCTATAAAAAAAGGGTGATTTACCTATGAGTAAAGATGATTTACCTGTAAAAAAAATGTGATTTTCAATAGCCATGCTAAATGACCAGAGGGTATCTACCGGATTTTCCAAGAGTCTCACGCCAGTGATGTACCTCATCAGGAGGCTGGGATAGAACATGCACAGAAACCTTTTGGTTGGCGCTGCATGGTGTATTCCCCTCTGCTCGGGGCAAGTCCGGCTGCAGTGAGTTACATACCAGCTGGTTCAATAAGTGTGATCAGTGTCATTAATAATAACATATCGTATCCGGTCGGAAGATCTATGAACCAACTGAAGCAACTCATAAACACTTAGGGTGGAAACAGGCATCTTTTATACCCTGTGGTAAACTAACATAGCTATGGAAAATCACCATCTTTAATAGGTAAATCAACTATAAATGAGCCATTTTCAATAGCTATGTTAAATTACCAGAGGGTATGCCACCTGGCTCAACCAATGTAGACATACGCCGTTTGTCAGGTGGTGATTGCAGACTTACGCGAGTTCCTCGCTGAGGCCGGGGCAGCGTCATGTTGATCTCACCAGGGCTGTGATGGTTTCTGCGACTGATGGTTTCTGTGCTCCAAATTCTTTGAAATCAGTCAGCATCCAGGAGTTTTTTTTTGCAAAAACTAATAGAATTATGTTCACTAGATAGCCAGAATCCCATAAACTATAGAATATAGTAAGTTATACTAAGTGTTTTTCTCCTCTGTGGACTTTCACTTCTTAGTATAATTTTCCGGAATTTGATCAATTAAATGGACAATCTTATAATTATTGGGATTCATGGTGAGGACAGTTCTTGATGGGAAACAACCACTCATTCTTGGCCATGTTTTTCTAAGTATTGGCAATTGTATCATTTTGACCTGTTGATATTCTATGACTCAAAGAATTTAGGAAAATACTAGCTAGAATTTTACCAACTTGATTCAGTTGTGGAAGATTATACTGTAATTCCGTAATTGTAGTACTTATTGTGGGTTTATGTTCTGTATGGAATATAAATACAATATATGGAGATGACATCCATTCGATCCATCCCTTGTCTTGTTTATTTGTATGATACTGCTATTGTTCAATTGTATTCCCCATACATTGGTATCATTTGATTTCATGTCATCCATTTATGTATTGCAGCAGGGTATTGTATAAAATTTCCCACCCATTCCCACACTATATCCTAACTTTCCCTAGTTAAATCGCTATTTTTGCTGGTTGACCTCCCAATTTTCTTTTTTTTGGTTGGAATCCCAATGTTCCCACACTCTCCCAATGTTCCCTAGTTACCCTCTGGTTATTTAACATAGCCATGGAAAATCACCATTTTTTTTGGGTAAACCATCTATAAATGGGCCATTTTCCATGGCTATGTTAAATAACCAGATGGTAAATCTGGGGTCTTTTCATCATTTTCAAGGTGAAATTCCCAATTTTTCCTTCGTTTCAACGCCATCCTGTGCGGCCTGGCGCGGCTTCCGCCGTAGGCCGAGCCGCGCTTCGAAGTCTCGGACCGGCGCCTGGCGCGCAGCGTGCGGCTGCTGCGCATCGCGGCGGCAGCGGCAGGTGGCATGGGGGCCATGGGGGCCATGGGGGCCATGGGGGCCATGGGGGCCATGGGGGATTGTAACTTCAATGGGAATCAAAAATCACTGGTTGGTGGTATTTTACCCTTAAATCCACTGCAAATGGCAATTTTCAATAGCTATGTTAAATTACCAGAGGGTACCCAGAATCATATAATACCATCTGGTTATGACTAACAGTTTGCCATGGTTTGTTGATGGCCCATAGAAATAGATGGTTTACCGAACTTAAAAATGGTGATTTTCCATGGCTATGTTAGTCATAACCAGATGGTACGTATCATTTTTGGAGATAGATATTGGAAAATGATGGGATAGGAAAATGGTGGTTTATAGCTTTGGAATGGTTTAGATAAACTTCAATTGTCATAAACAAGTACCATTTGGGGATGGTAAATGTCATAAACCTATAACATTATTACTATTTTTGGGATGGCAGACATAGTAGACATACCAGTAAATATATGGAGTTTGAGGAATGTTTATTGCATTGGGATTACGACAGTAAACCCAGTGCCATTTGTACATATCAATAGGGATTTACATAGCCATTGTGCTAAGGGTTATTAATGGCTAACGTGACAATGTGATTGATAAACATAATGCCAATGATAATTGTTAATACTTATTCCAATTGTACTAATGATAATAGTAACCATTAGGTATTGGTTTAAATAATAACCTAATGGGTTAATGGCTAATACATCCGATTTTTTTTTAAATTTAAGGTATAACCCATTTGGGATGACTTAAAAGGAGCCCCCAAAGATTTTATTGCAGCCTTTCTAGGATTGGCGGTGTGCTCTAACTATCCTTTGTTTCGAAACCAACAAAAGCAAGAAACATGGGAATAGAATCAACATTTTCAAGTGATATATGGGTTTGTTTCTAGGATGCGGAATTAGATGCAATCAGGCAATTGTAAGATATAGCATTCAGTGTAAAACCTCATCCGGCGTATGAGAATTGATACCACAAAGATTCGGACAAGATTTGTTGATTTGTTAGTCGTATGCGCATCGGTGTATGTGAATGGCAAGTTCAAGTCCAAGAGAGAACATGATGATGAGAGCATGAATTTGGATGGCTGCAAGGTTGGCAAAAACGACTTGGGGAATATGTGATGTGAGTCGTTGAATTTGTCCAACTCTGAAACCACTTGCCATGACATTGTGATAGGATGGAAACTGCGCTTTTTGCGCAGCCTCCTGGTTTTAGCTGTACTTTCACACCTCAAATGGGTCGCAGTTGTGGGTTCCGTGCCAGTCCCGCTATGGGGATCCATGGGGATCCTTGGGGCTGCATGGTGCTGCGACAAGCGCAGGCGGCACCACAGTGGTGGAGGCCGACTTGCTGTTGCTGCGGCACATGTTCTGGGACCGTGAGCCCGAACAAGGCGAGAGCGTGGGAACATCCTGGGAAGCGAAGGGAGATGGGAGGGGAGTTGAAAAGCGAGCATAGGGGAAAACTGACTGGTGAAGTATCTAAGATATCTAAGTATTCGAAGACATCAAAGATTGGCCAGGAGATCCCAGTTGGCTGTTGTAGTATTTGTGTGGTAGGTTGAAGCCACCCACCCAGTATAGAATGAGTTGAAATGGCATGACCAACGAGACATGTTGGGTATGGAGACTTCCGGCAAGAATATGGTAGTTACAGTACATCCCCAGATTCTTTTTCACAGAATATCATCAACATATTTCCAGATTTTCTTCAACGTTGTCATTGTGTTGGGAATCCTTTTCCAACACTATTCCCACAGGCAGGCAGTGCGGAGACCTGCCCTTCCTGGTTTCCCAAGGTCAACTGGTGACTGAGTGGCTGCTACGGCGCTTGGGCGACACGGGGGATGGCAAGAAGGCGCGGCCTCAGGCAGACTAAGCATATACCCGACATGGTAAACATACCAACAAACTATGGAAAATCACCATTTTTCATGGGAAAAACTATGGAAAATCACCATTGTTAATGGGAACACTCACTATTTCTATGGCCATTTTCAATAGCAAACTGTTAGTCATTACCAGAGGGTAATGATGTTTTAAACTTTAAATGGGAAAGATCCCTAAAGTGGGTTTATCTAGGGGTTGTGAATTGTGTACTCGAATTGGCTTAAGTTCAGGTCGGTGAAGTAGTGCAACGCAATGCAGATGTGGATTGCATCCTTGAATAGTGGATTTAAAGGAAAGGTGGCCATCTCCAATAGCAAATACATCGTGCAAAGGAATGCCTTGACTTGGGCGATATAGATTCGGGGAAGCTCTTTGCCCAATAGCTAGATTCCAACGCCAAATGTAGAATCAGCCGCAGCCACCAGCACCAAAACTGTCAACCAATGAGAAGATGGAGGCACTCAGCCTTGGTTCATGCTGGAGGGCTCTTGATTTTTCTGTCTTTGGTGAATCATTTTCCATGGGCACAGAGCGTGGCAAAGTCTGCAGCTCCTGCCAGCGCATCCACATATGATCGAGATTTGGCAAGATACCAACGTTACCATGTGCGGCTTTATGACCTCCTGAAGCGGATTGTGCGCCCGACTTTGAAGTCCTTTGAAAGTGGTGGGATCAAGTACCAGTTGCCGTTGAGTGCGAAAGATGCCGTCATTGAAGGTTGCAGTGAAGACGAGCTTGCCTATTTGAGCGGTTTTTTTGATGGAGATGGGTGCGTGCTCTTAACAAAAGCTGGAACATTTCACCTCAAGACAAGGCAATCTTTGAAAGGGGTGGATGTGTGCCTCCGATCCCGAAGAGCTTTCGGAGGCGGAATCTATTACTCAACTGATGGTTGTGGTTTTAGGCAGCCAGTGGTTTCTTGGGAATTGGCAGGAACAAGGGCGAAGGAGGCAGCAACGTTGCTCGCCAGACATTCCTACACCAAGGAAGCCCAGCTTCGTGTGGCCATGAATGGCACTGTGGCCAAGGATAACAGGAGTCAAGTTCAACATAGGCTGAAAGATCTCAAGGCAGCAAAACCAGTATCACAAAATTCCTCTGTCACTTGGGCGTACCTTGCTGGTTTATTCGATGCTGAAGGGTACGTTCAAGTGCCGCCGGATAGAAACAGCATTTGCCTCCACATAAAACAGAAATATGATGAAATTCTGCACGTCCTGGTGTCGTTTTTGGAGGATGAAGGGCTAAACAGGCTAAACAGCTTCAAGATCTATCATGTGGGAAATGTTTTTTTATTGCAGTGTTCCAGAACTAATGTGAGCATGCAGACTCTCCAGCAGCTACTGCTCCATGGGTTGAGTCTGAAACGTGATCAGGCTCAGAGTGCTTTGCAGCTGAATGCAACCAATCGCTGGGAGGTTCGCGAGACATTGTTTCAGCTCAGCGGTCAGCAAAACCGCTACAAGCGCCTGGACAGGCACGGGATGGAGACAGCTGCAAAGATCCACCAACTACAGGCTAATGTTCGTCGCTGCCAAGACCAAATCGAATCAAAGTTGCTCAACAAGGAACTGCAGCTGCTCAAGGAGGAACACGAACTTCAGAAATTAAAATACAATTGCAGTCTGATGAGCTTCGACATCCGCAGGATGTTGAATGAAGGTGCTCACTTCAGACCATTGGAGAGCAAAAAGGCTACCTGCATATGGGAGGTGCAGCGGATCTGTACCAACAGAAGCCTCCGTCATAGTGATATCATGTGATATCATTTGACCTCACTCCAGCCTCCATTTGGCCCTTTTCCTCTTTAAAGATTTGAGAGTTTCATGAACTTTGAACTTTGAACCCCAACATCCTCGAACTTTGCAGGGAAACCTAGCGAAATCCACCAAGAACGTAAACCCGGAGGTTTCGGGTTCTCAGCAGTGGTAGATGGGGCTAGTTACATCTACCATCATTTACCAGTATCTCATCATCAATCTAATTAAGATATTTAAGATATCGGAACCTGTCATCTCTCCATTTGAACCTTTACTAAATTTGTATACCTATAGCCTATACCATACTCTCCCAAAATCATGATCCACTATGTTGATCCATATTTTTGGTTGATCAAATCATCCACGATCCTTGCACCAGCACCACTGGGAGGCCTGGTCCTTCCTGCTGGAGGGTCTTCAGACGCGTTTGAGGCACGGTGTGCGCGGCCCGGCCCTGGAGGCTGCCAGGAAGGACCTGCGGAACCTGCAGCAGGCGGAAGACCTGGGGCATCCTGGGGCCTGGAAGTAGCCCTTAAGACATCTCAGGCAAGTTAGCATGGTTAGGCGACACAAAATTGGGAGACCAACCAGAAGACAATCAGCAGTTTCATGACTGTTTCATGTAAATTCTACTTGATAATACCTGGCTGGTTGGTGGTCTCGACATGTCTCGACAACTTTTCTAAAGTAAGGTCAACCATCTGGGACTCTGGGATGATGACCCCCAAGTTGTCAAAGTTTTCAGCCATGAAGTGCCTGGTGCAAGGCCGCCTCCCGCGCCATGCTTCGCTTAGCGCAGATCGCGCGCGACGCGCCGACGCCGCTGAAGGAGGAGGCTGTTTTTCCGTATCATTTTTCCATGGCATCCGGTGCTTAGGAGGTAGCTGTTCGGAGCAGATATCTGTATGTTCCCTATGAACAATATCTATTAACTGGGAAGCTAGCTGGAGCTACTAAGAATTACTAAGACTTTCCCAACCACATGATACCAAAACGATCCAAAACATCTCAAGATTGGTCAAACCCATCATTCTGGGTAAATTATAACGACCTCACTGCGACCTCACTGGAATCATGGTTAGTAGGGGAAATCATCCCAATATGGCCTTGATTCAAGTTAGTGAAATATTATAATTTACCCAGATCATTTCACCGATGCCTCAAAGAGCCCGGGGTAACCGCCAGGGCACTTCCACCGGGGGCGTCACGGTGGACCGCTTCTTCTGGTTGAGTGATGCGGAGCGGCGGCATGCGGCGGAGCTGGGGGACAAGTGCGCCGAGGCTGGGGGGGTGATAGGGGGGAAATAGATGGAACACATACTCTCTGGCTATTTAACATAGCCATGGGAAATGGCCCATTTATAGAGGTTTACCTATTAAAAATGGTGAAATACCCTCTGGTTATGTCAAAATAGCTATTGAAAATCACCATTTATAGTGGATTTTCCCATGAAAAATGGTGATTTTCCATAGTTATGTGGCTGTTTACCAGAGGGTAACACATGTTGTGGAATTTGTGGAACATCTTAGGGGAGATGGTTACATTGATTGTTTTTCCAGAAAAATATTTTTGAACCCAAGGTTAGTGGTTCAGTTCGAACGATCTGTTGGAAGATCCATGTGCGGAGGTTGTGCCGGTTGGGACCCGGGGGATGGGGGTTCGATCCTCTCAAAGTGCTGCATTTGAATGAACAGTTTTTCCAATGATTCAATATCACCCTGAAAAGTGACGTTTTTCTTCCTTGCATCAGGGTTTCAAGCTGGTTGCATCAATGGAGGTGAATTGCAGCGACCTCACTGCGACGTCACCGTAAATGATGCTTGGTAAGGGGGATTATCCCAAAATGATCCTTGTTTCAGGTTGGTCATCTACTATGATGTTTCCCCCAAATTCCACCAATACCTTGGAAATCAGCTGGCCAAATATTTGGCCCCTTTGAAAAACCACCAAACATGGGCCGGTTTTTTTGCCCTCTTGCGGTCCTGATCTCCTTGTAGATTCCGGACAGGAAGCAGAGAAGCTGCAGGAACTGCTGAAGGAGGTGTCAGTGTTGATTCAAACAGCACCTCGGAGAACCAATTCCGACGAGACGAGGAGGGTTAACAGGGGAATTTTCATGGGATTGCTGTAGGAATCTGATGGATTTTGTAGGGGGTTTCTATGTGTAAAAGAAACAGTGCTGGGTGTATGGGAATTCTGAAGTTGCCTGGGTTGGGGCAGCAACCCCAACCCCGAATCATTTGAAATACTCCCAATGTTTGGAAGCCAAAAGCATGAGTAGATTTAATACATTTCACCAGGCTTTCCGATTGGGAGGACAGGGTAATACAACTTTTTGCTGGGCAAATTGGTAAATCCCTATCATTTTTTTAGCTCGATAAATCCACTATTCGATGAGTTTTTTAAACATATTTGACCTGGTAGACCCCGTGAAATGGCACAATGTGGTGCCCCTCAGTTATAAGTTGGTTTATAAACCCCATTAACTATTAGTTATATCTACCATAAACCATAGTTATTGGAGTTATAAACCAACTTAGCCGTTTTTCGCCTGGCAGTTGGGCACCTCCCCAGAGGTTGCCGTGGAAGACGACCGCGAGCGCGAGCGACTGCTGGCGCGGCGCCTGGGGATTCAGCGCCAGAACCAGGACCGACTCAGTCGGGTGACTCCAAGCATGGTGCGTTGACCCTTTGGTAATGGTGATTCAATGGGATTTCATGCTGTTTTAATGGTGTTTTAATGGGATAATGGGATTTAATGGGATTTAATGGCGTTTTAATGGTGTTTTAATGGGATTTAATGGAAGTGTCTGGTGATTTACCCCTTTGCTAATGACTAACAGTTTGCTATTGAAAATGGCTATCGATAGTTCATATACCTATGAATCATGGTGATTTTCGCCATGCTTTAGTTTAATTACTGGAGGGTAAGTGTTTGCTCACCATCTATCATTGGGGTTTGGTTGGGCTGAATGGGTGGAAAGCTGGGTGGGCCATTGCCACCTTGCCACCATGGCCAGGAGGACAAGGCGATTCGTTCCTCGTCATGGTGGGAATCGCTTCAATTTTTCTGTGGTCAGTGAACGAGTTCTACACCTAGGTGACCAGGATGTGACTAGGATTGACTAGGTATCGATAAGTTTCAAGTGTCTATTAGTAATTCTATATTCTGCCCCCCGCCCTCCACAAGAACTGTGCTGTCAAGGCTACGATGAGTGGGGCGATGAGATCTGAGTCGCGGCAGGGTCTTTTTGGCCCCCATCGGCCCGGCGCCTAAAAGCGGTGCTTTTTTTGCGGCCGAATTTGAGATCTTTGAATTTGGGCCACAGGTGGCACAAAGGGGGCACAGGGCAAGATGCCCAGATTGACAGATTGAGACTTAAATCGGACAGAAACAGTGTGTGATTATAGCCAAATGCTCTGAGATATGTTGATATATATATATATATATTGATATATGATGATCTATTCAGGATTCGGATGGTAAAACATGGTAAACCTGCACTGAGGTGACCAGCCCTTGGATTCTTTCACTTGTTTGGTCTTCCTTTTGGAATAGCACTTTTCTTTCCTGCTCCAGTCGCCTGTGCCAGTCGTGATAGGGATAGCCAGGGCACGTCCTTCACCCTTGTGGAGGCAGATAATTCGCAGATTTTCTCAATCAACTTGTCATCGATGCTGGGGCACACCCAAGGTCTCCCATTGAGATCTTGGGAGTACCAAAATTTCCGAAGGTGGTTGAGATATGGGAAAGCTCAGAACCTAGGGATGGTTGATATTCAACGAATGGGATGTATACAGATGAAGGGGCCAGTGTTCTGTTGCTTCAAAACCCCTGCATTTCCATGACGTTCCTGCAGTCTCAGCAGAATTGTGGAGGTTCTGCAGTGAGACTGGTCTCGCGTTGAGAGCGAAAAAATACAACGATCAGTGCTTTGGAATGCTTGGTGGATGACTTTTGGAGGGTTTAACCCACCAAAAAGATCAAAAAAGTATTTAAACATAACATAACATATATCTAACAACAGCGACTGGTTGGTGGTTTTCAAAGATTGTTCCTTTCCATCCTGGCTATGATGATCCCAAATTGACTCAGACATTTCCCCTTCGGAGGGGTTGAAAGCAATCAATGTGATTGTAACAACCCACAATTCAAAGAGGTGCCCCCAAGTTATGTTCGTTGGTGTTTTTTAACCCCTTTGGTTAATTCATATGAATTATAGACTATTAGATATACCTACCAGAAATCCAACAGTAAACCCACATATTTCATCATATTTCATCATATTTCAATCAACTTAGCAATCATAAGCAAACTGCACAAGAGACATATATCATGATATATCAACCATATCCATCTATCCATATGTCATATATGTCATATCTGTCATATCACATAAATCTTCCATTTCTGTTGGGCAAAATCGCGGCAAAATCTTCCATCATCGCCAGGGCCGGAGCCGCCCCGGGCTGCGCAGTGGCCTGCACCCTTTGCGTCTCGATGAGGGCTGGTTGGAGGAAAGGTGGATATCGATGTTTCATAAGTTTAACAGATAACAACAACAATAGTGATAATGATAAAAACAATATCACCAACAATGATATATATGTTATATATATATATATCACACACACATATATATATATATATAACATATATATATATAACACACACACATATATATATATATAACATATATATATTTATGTATATATATATATAACACACACACATATATATATATATACACACATAGATATGCATATAACATATATATATATATATAGTAGATGACCATTGATAATGAATTAGAATCGACACTTCAACGATTTCACGTGCCGAGTCGCAGGAGTCCGCCATGCCCAGCTACGCGGAAGCCATGGCGGAACGGCGGGCCATCCTGCAGGTGCTTTGCAAAAACGGGCACGTCATCGCGGGGTCGGTCATGTGCCACAAAGTCTGGAGGGATATATATCTACACTACCAATATGGTTATGCGTAATATATCTAAATAAAATTAAATAAATAAAAATATATGTAATCACATATATACATATATATATATATATTTGTGTGTAAAAGGTATATTGGGTTTATTCCCATACTGCTACTATTCTCATACTGGTTTATCCCATACTCAACGTGTACTATACCAATAATGGAAGTATCTGCCAAGTATGGCGAAAATAAGTGCAAATCATTATTGGTAAAATATCATCATGACGTTTACGCATCTTTTGAAGGGTCACTATGGTTGATCTCAAGACTAAGTTTTGCGTGGTTGGTACCCTCTGGTAAACTAACATAGCTATGGAAAATCACTATTTTTAATGGGTAAATTATAAATGGCCATTTTCAATAGCTATGTTAGTTTACCAGAGGGTACTAAAAATTGACCATAAAGTGGTGAAGTCTCCTGGCAAGTTGGATGATCAATCTGTTTTTGTTGGAGAACGTAACGATTTCCGAATAGCTAAACTATTCAAGGGTGAATTAATTGAGCAAAATATAGCCATTATGATAGGTTAGTTCATATTCCTGCATCATTTATCAGCTGGTTGGCTGATTGGCATACGGTCTTCCTATGGCTTTTGGCTTTTTAACTTTAAAAAACCGGGTGAGAGCACCCACTGGAATAACCACCCTCTGGTCATCTAACATACTTGTGGAAGCCCATTGAGTTCCATGATTTACCCTCTGGTAAACTAACGTAACTATGGAAAATCACAATTTTTAATAGGTAAACCATCTATAACTGGGCCATTTTCGATAGCTTTTTGCATGTTTACCAGAGGGTACTGGTTAAAGCTGGTCATCGTCCATCATTTTGCATGGCTATGTTAAATTACGATAGGCTAATCCCATCTACATTGGATTTTCCACATGAATGGTTTGAGTAGATCCAACAACAACCCAGGCGTCCATAAGGATATTCAAAGATTTCATATGCATACAGATAGATAGGCAGTGATAGACATTTATATGCAGATATTCGCATCTAATATCAGGACATATCTGGATATCATACAGTATTTCTAACTATTTCTCATGGCTCGAATTACCCTCAAACGTGTCATCATTCACGTGCCGTGCTGGAAGCTTTCCCCCATTGAGCTCCATGGCTAGTTCGGGGGTTTTCCAGCCACGTTTGATTCTCAGAGGTTATCACCATGAAATCATTGAATTAGATTTCTATTTACCCTCTGGTAAACTAACATAGCTATTGAAAATGGCAATTTCAATAGCTATGTTAAATTACCAGAGGGTAATCTATTTATATCCCTATTCTATCCCGATGATATCCCTATTTTATCCCTATCATATCTATAATCCCATATTTTCCATTGCTATGGTACATGACCGGAGGCTATAGATGTTGCCCCGAAAAATCCAACAGTGAAACCAGGAACAACGGCACCTTGCTGTGGTGGACGACGGTGAGAGCCGCTCCGCGCAGGAGCCTTCAACGCGTTCAACGCATTCAACGTGCTTTGTTAAGGGGGGATTGGGGGGTTAGAGCTGACATAACCTATGACATTTGGAGAAAACTTAGGGAAAACTTGGGTAAAACTTGCAACATTTTAAGGAAACTGGTAAACTTGGGGATTTTAAAGTCAAACGCAGCTCAAACGATCAGATAAGATAATCATAGTATTTCTTTGGGTGGCATATGGTGGCATATTATGTGAGATCAACTGCCATTCAGGAGTTCAGCCAGCTAGCAGGATAATTAGCTTAAGTTTCTCCAATGTTGAGCACTTTCAATGGAAGAACCTAGGAAATCTAAAGTCCATGCTTGCGCAGGGCTTGCCGGGTATGGAGCAGAGTTTACTATCCAGGCAGCTCAATTTCCTCCCCAGTTGTCGCGGATTTTCCTATTTACAGCATTTACACCTCCATTTTCTTAGCTTTTCATGCTAACGTTTGAAGACAACGGAGGGTAAGCCACATATTCTTTGCGCAGCTCACGTGGCAAGTCTGATCAACACAAACGTATTGGTTTGTCCCCAAATGGGAGAATGAACATTGCAATTTTCATTGGGACCATGATTTTGTGAGGCATGAACTTGACAGGTTTTGTTCCAGCTTTTGCCGTGACATTTTCGGACTCCATACAGAATTCCATGAAAAATTCGCCATAGCTCGCCATTTTTGTTCCAGGTTTTGCATGTGGATCAATTCTTGACTTGAGTTTTTTATAGTTTTTTCGAATTCCTCCGTTTTCTCCCTTCCGGCCATGAAAGGTGTGGCCATGTGTGTGGTGCCTTTCAGCTCCATTTTCCAAGATCCCACGAGGAGGAACTGGTGGATTTAGTCCTGCAGCACCTGGTCAGGGGCACCTGGTCAGCGCTGGGAAGTGGTGACGAAAATGGATGAGCATCGCCCATTTTCTTCGATGATGGAGTTGTAAAATCTGGGTGAAACTCTGCGATTTTCCATTGCACATGGTTAACTTTACCACAGGCTGATGAAAACCCGAAGCCATGTGAAAAGTTAGATGTCCTGTACCTGAAAAACGGTTGAAGAAGATAGGGGTCATCTACTGAGGATTTCGGGCAACATTTGAGATTCCCCTTGATCATTGGGATGATTTAGAGGAAAATCTGCAGGAAGCCCTGGCTTTTCCCACAACGAATGGGGGTTTCCTGTAAATTTTCCTTGAAACCAATCCCAATAATCCAATGACTTGTATTTTTTCCAATTCTCGATGTCATCATCATCTAAGAATTGGTTCAAGGATGTTGAAGGGAAACGAATCACATGACACCGATATCTGGTATAAGATTCGTAGATCCGTGGTTTCTCGGAATCTTTCCCTGAAATCGATGGACACAAGCCTTTGCTGTGCTGGAAACAGTTCCAGTTCACGCGAGACGACTTTTTCTTGTACGAAGCTGGTCCTTTCAGTGCCCCATTGGTCAAATTTGTGAGCCACACAGATTAAGATGTCATATGCCCATGATTTCTGTGCAATTGTCTGGGTAAATTGTTTTTGACAGGTAAATCAGCTATAAATGGCAATTTTTCACAATTTTCCATAGCTATGTCTAATTTCCGGAGTGGATTTAGATCCAAAACCCATGGGTATCTCCCCTTCTGTTCCGCGAAAAATCTCGCCGTCCCGCAGCGATTTGCTCCGTGGAACTCCAACGCCGGGAAAACGCGAACGACTGGGCGGCCCGGGTGGGCCCGGTGGAGGCAATGGAGGCGACGGGGAATGGATGGGGAGTGA